CATAGGATAACGTTCATTATATGCTTTACGTTTAGGATAATCAGATATAGTTAATTTATAACCATTTATGACTTTAATATTACCTTGACCATCAGTAACGAAAACTTCATTTATACCATCAGGTTTTCCATTTGGACCCGTAATGTCTGCTTCGTGTGCTTCCCAATTTGGACCATGACGTTTGGCATATGCTTGAGCTTCTGGTAATGTTAAAACGTTTCTCATTTGTTTAACATCTTTTTGAAGACCAGCAACAATATGAACTAATTCTTTCATTCCATCAGGAACTTTCATAGTTCTATTATATGCACCCCTTTTGTTTGTCCCTTGTTTTAATGGAACCTGTAGAAGATTTACCATTTCTGTCATGTTTAATTATAATAAAAAATAAAAATTAATTATAAAAAGTTAATCAAATTTAACACTTCCTTTATTTAAATCAACTATTATTTTTCCATGTTCACCTAATTGCTGATATTGTGTGTAAAGTTCATTAATGCTCATTGGTAGATTCACTTGATAAAGCATAACGTTCAACTGTTGACGACTAAACCCACTGAAAATGAAAAGTGTTGATAGATTTGATTTAATGTTTGTACTTAATGCTTTGAAGTATTGAACAGCCATGAAGAATGAACACTGAATGTGTCGACATTGAGTTAATAACTGATTAAAATATGATTTCTCATTTGTTATTAGTTTTGATTTCACTGCATCATCTAGAAAAATGAGTGAATGCAAAAATTCTCTATCAAAATTTGAAATAGAAAGTGTTTCAAATAATTCATCCCGTTGTTTATCAATAATTTTATCCTCTAATCCTTGCTTCTTGATTGTATTATATAATTCTTTATACATTAAAAAGTTTTTTAAATAATCTTCTGCTTCTTCTTGTGATAAATAAATAATTGGAATTTTGATTAAATGCTTTAAAGATTCAAATGTATCATCTGAAGGTGAACCTGAACGGTTGATATAAATTAACACATGTGAATAGGGGGAAGTGTTAGCAATAATGATAATTTGTTTTAATATCGTTAATGTTTTACCTTTATTTTGTTTACCAATTGCTGCAGTGATTGAATTTAAGTAACATTCAGAATATGGAATTTTCATTAATTTTTCCTTAGATAGAGCATTTCTATTATCACTCAATGCTTCATTAATCATATCATCTACGTATGTATTATATACTCCTGCTAATTCTTCATAAGGAGTGGATGAATTTAAATCCATTTAATCAAAAATAAATTTATAATTTTAAACATTTCTATTCATCAATATTTCATCATATGAACTTCTATACTGTGGTGGTGTACCTGTTGGATGATATTTCAAACCTTCGTCCGGTGTCCATGTCCAATATGTAGTCCTAGTAAACCAAACCTGAGGAGGATTTGTCACCTTTGAACAGTAAGTGTCATTTACACCCTGAATGATTGGATAAGCTTTCACTTGTACTGTAACTTGTGAGTTGAAAGTTTCTAATCCATCAAAGAATATACCCGCTCCATCACGTTGAACTGGAATAGTGCATAAGAATGAAGTTTGGTCTTTCCATGTTCTAGCTAATGGCGTGCCATTATCATCATTCAGTGGTCTAGTTAATGAGTCCTCATATTCTTCTGTGCATTCATTCACTCCATCTAAATCAGAAGCTGAAGCATACGTGTAAAGAATATGTCGCCCACTGTGGTCATCGCTTGATCGGGGAAGTTTCTGGAATCTATAGTGACCTGAAGACCTCGAAGCATTGGATTTTCTAAAACTGTTCTTTGCATTGCATTCTTCGGAAATGCTAACACAACATCTGTAACATTATGAAGAGCGTATGAGAAATCTGAGCTAATACCTTCAGGAGTGATGCAACCTCCATTTAGTGAACGAACGTCAATATGTTGAGCTGGAATCATGAATGGATCTTCCTTACTGAATAAACGAGGTATTGCTTTAACTGATTCTTCAATTAAACCGTATCCTGGTGTAATGCATTTATCCTCTAAAACTTCCATCTTTGTGCATGAAATAATAACGTTATCAACTGTTGCGTCAGCAGATGTAGCGGCTAAGCTTGTAATTAATTTGGCAGGAAGTCCGATTTGTTGGAATTTGCGATCATATTTATAAACATGATTCATAATCTTTTCATAATTTTCATCAGTTATCTTTTCATAAACGTAATTTTGTAAATCAGCAACTCTTAACGGGTCAATCTGACAAAATACTAAAGTATCCCTGAAAACATAATATTTAAGAATGATATCATCAAATGATTTAGGATAATCATCGAACGCCTGAAATGCTAACAAATCATTTACCGGAATAATCATATCAAAAGTGACATCAACTTCTTCATTTGCGTTCTTGAAAACTTCTGAAGGGTCAATATATTTACCACATACTGAGTTATCATATTTTTGAACATTATTATATAACGAATGAACAAACTTTTTAACTTTCCTTTCTGATTTTGGTTTATATGTTGCAAATGCGAAAGATTCACGGGCGCAATCCATCTGAAGATAACCGGCATCACCTCTTTCGGTTTCTACTTCTAATTGTTTAAAGCTTTGATTTGATGATTTGTAACCAACGAATAAACGCATGCATTTAAAAGCGGCATCACATGTGAAAGCTTTATTTGAAACTAGAGTTGCTTTAACTTTGCGTTTAATATATGTGTCACCTAATTGGTTCACATCATGAGCCGGATTTGTAATTCTTAAATGAGTTTGTTTATCATCAAAATATGGAGCATCAGAGTCATAGCATGAACTTTCAAGTTCTCTATAATATCTTCTACCGTCATTCTTTGCGAATATTTCATTTATCTTTTCGAATGAATGAAACACATTTCCATTAATCGGTTTAGTGTTTGGCACCAAATAGTTAGTCGTCATTTATTATTAAATAAAAAATCAAAATTAAAAGATGAAAATGAATTTTTAATTTTAATGAAATAATCAACTATGGCTGCAGGTATATTTAAGAAACTGTGGGATAAAGTAAAAAGAGGAGCGAGTAAAGTTTGGGAAACATTGAAGAAGGGAGCAAATTGGATATTTAAGAATAAAGAAGCAATTAGTGACGTTGCTGAATCAATAACACCAAAAGCCGCCCCAATAAGAGAAATATTAAATAAAGGAGAAAAAGTTTATCAAAGACTACAACCGATACTAAGATAAAAATAATTTTAAAATAATTTATTTTTCCACTATCTACCTCCTATTTTATTAAGTATTCCTTCAGCTATTCCACCAACTGCGTTACCTGCTTGTGCTCCCATCGCCGGATTACCTGCTTTAGTACCTAATACTCCACCTATGATAGTTCCTGCCGTTTTCGCTACTGGTGCCAAAAAGTTTGCAATGGGTTTAATAATCTTTTTATAAACCCAACCCGCAGCTTTCTTAATTCCATCCCATAATTTTTTAAAGAATCCTGCAGCCATTTCTGATTTAATATTAATTAAAAAATATATTTCATCACTTATATTCTAATTTTTATTTAATGATAAATGAAACCGATTTTAAAAATAAATGAAACAGAGGAGGAAGAAATAAATGAAAGTGAAAATGTTCAACAAAAAATAAACGTTGTTAAACCAATTACTGAAATAAAAATTTTTTCATCTGTTGAAGAATTTAATGACTATTATGCTAACAATAAAAAATTATTTGAAGAATTGACAACGTGTAAATTGAATAAAATGTTTAAAGTTGATGGATTCAAAATTTCAAAAATAAAGGGGGTGGTTAGTTTGAAATCTATTCCTCAATCAAGAATCACCTCATTAATGAAAATAGATGATTTAACAAAAAGAATAGAAGAGATTGAAGAAAGAATGAATCAAATAATTGATTTCATAAATTCAAATAATCATTAGTTTCTTAAAGTTCAATGTTGATTCTGAGACATGAATTTTTAAAGTTTATTTTTTTATTTTTTATTTCATTATGGTAGTGAATCTTTCATTCATGAAAATAATTATTTCTAATTTCTTTTATTCTCTCGTACATACTAGATTTGAAGAATTCAGAACTTTTACCATAATCTCCTAAATGTTTTCTTATCCCTAACGTGTGCCAGTTATTATATGAAACTGAATAAACTTTATCTTTATCTTTACACCTTTCATCACTTCCAATATATTTATATCTCAGTTTTGATTTAGCATTTTCATATTCATTAGCGTTTAATAATTCACAGTCTTCCTTTTTAAATTGATGTTTAAGATATTCAGGATTTAATACTCTACGTTTATATGCTCCTAACTTAGTTCTAAAGGTTTTTCTACAAAATTTAGGAATTCCATCCTCTTTAATGTCATCAATGATTTCCATTTCATTATTTTCAATTTCTTCTTCTCGTTTATGAGGTCTTTGATTATGACTCCATTGATTCCATGAAATTAAATATTCCCTATCATTATATTTATACCTCATTAGCTTATTTTGGCTTTCATATTCATTTAATAATTCACAATCTTCATTTTTAAATTGAAGTTTAACCCATTCAGGATTTAAACAATGTTTAATTAATCGCGGAATATCTGACATCATCTATATATAGCTTCTTTTATAAAAGATAAAAAAATAAATTATTTTAAAATTAATGTTAATTTTTTAATGATTTATAAATAAATATATTTTAATGCATCGTCTATATATAGATGTAACAAAAAAAGTCACACACCCCGCCCTATCCTACTACTTATTTTTATATATATAATGTATCAGCGGAATTATTACAAATGCATTCTAGGTGAATTAAGGGAAAATGCGAAATATAGAAGAAACAATCTGGAAAAAATTGAAAAAACGGTTATTTTGAACTATTATTTTACAAATTTTATGCAAATTGTCACTTTTATATTTGAAAAAGTGGGATCCAATATCGATCAACAATAAATATGCAAATCGAAATCTATGTTGAAATACTTCAGTCTCAGCTCAGTAAATTGGTTGAACAATCCACATGCTTAGAAGTACAATTCAAATATGAAAAATGCAAGAAAGTTCAATTGGACTGATTATTTTGAGGAGAAAGATAAAGTCACACAAACAAATGATGTCACAGCATTATATAATACTACAGGCTCTAAGAGTTATTACGTTTATTTTTGCATTTTTGACGAATGCAAATCAAAGAGTGCCATTTATATCAAAAGAGATAATGAAATTTGCACATTACTTGAAGACAATAAATTTACTAGATGCAAATCCACTTCAGAAGGTGGATCCGTTTACTATGACTGCCATCAGTCAGGACAGTTTGTTCAACAACGAAATTCATATTCTGAGTCAATAGCAAGTGATTACATGTCATTTTATCAATGGGTTAAATATTCTCCTGATTATAAAAACTACGCTTTTCAAATTTCAGTTTCAAAATGCGGAGAAAGTGAATCAGAAGGATGGTATGCATTTGATATTGCATGGGGTGATCTACGTTTTGAGAATAACAACATCACTTACAACAAATGCACTGCAGGTTCATCAATACATAGTATCCTTGATGGAAAATCAAGTACATGTAATTTCTCAACATTCAAAGAAAACAACCAAGGTGGAAGTCCATCTCTTGAATTTTGGAGTAATAATGATTCATATATACAAACAGTTTCTTATTGCAATGTTATTGGAAATAAATGCGGTACAGACAATGACCAAGTTCTATTTCGTTGTAATTATAATACTAATGTCGATCATTGCGTATTTTTAAATAACACTCCAGTATATATGTTTGATATTTCTTATAAAGGTTACACATTGACTATTACTGATTCATGTATTGAATCAAATTCAATAAGTACAGGAGGAACTGTTACATTTGAAAGAGAAGATCAAATTTATTCTGATATTTATCAAATTCCAAGTTTTTATACAGAATTTTGTTTCATGACACAAAAACCAAAAAAATCACAGTTTTATTACCTTATTTATCCAAATTTGCAGGAAAATCTTCTAGCATGCTTCATAGTTCCAAAAGATAAAGATAAAAATGAAGATGAGAAATATAGACAAAAAAATATTTAAAAATTACAATTTTGGAGCAGGTTTCTTCTCCTTGATTAATATCGTAGACTTTTGAGTTCCAGAGATTCCTTGTAAAATGTTTGAAAACACGATTACCATTGCAACAGGTCTTATCGAATTTGTATTTGTTTTTGATGATCCAGGAATCGAGTGAGAGAGCAAGAATTGTTTCTCACTCCTCAAAATTGAGAGTTTGCTTCTCAATGAACCGAAACCGAGAGAACCAATGAACTGTTCCTCGATTGTCAACCTTATGTCTTTGTCTTTCTGTCCTTGTGGAGACATGTCTGATATCTGTCTGAACAAAGACCTTCCCCATCTACTCCATTGAAGGAGTTCTTCCTGTGATGACTGGAGACGTTCGTTGTCTCTCATAGTTCTCTCTGTCTGTGTCTGTATTCTTTCATTCTCTGACTGAATTGCACTGCACTTGTCATCGAGCTTTGCAATTTTAGATCTCATGTCTGAGAATACATCTGAAAGATGTTTGTCTGTTCCTTCAATACGTAAAACTTTTCTGAGGTATAAAGCATCCTGTGTGACTTTCGCTGTTTCTGAATTCATAATTTCGTTGACAAATCTGTATGCACTATCAATTAATTCGTCGTCATCTTCTGGTAAACTCTTGATATCGAAACCAGATATTTTTGCAATTCCTTCTCTGAACTTGTTTCGAAGATCTGAAAATGACTTGTTATAACCATCAATCTTTGATGATGTTGAAATATTGAGAGATGCAATCTTGGCTGAGTTGTTTGAACGTTCTGTTTCAAGATTCGTCTTCAAGTCTTCGTTATTGATTGTTAATGTTCGCAATTGAACTTTCAATTTAGAGATTTCTGTTTTAAGTCGAATGTTTTCGTCACTTAATATATCTTTCTCTTTGTTAATATTTGTGACTTTCTCTCGTTCTTGTTTCAAGTCATTCTGCAATGCAACAATGGATGTGCCATATTGTGATGCCAATGAATCTGTTCGCTTTCGAACTTCAATGATGACATCGTTGTTCTTTGATTCGGCTGAAAGAGCACGAGATTTGTAAATTGATGTTTTAGATTTCTCACGGTTCAGTTTATCAATAAGTTTATGGACATCATTGTGTGCTTGTTCAATAATGTCTGAAAGTTCTTTCTTGCATTTTGTTAATTCAAGTTCTAATGATTTCTTTTCTGATGTAACTTTTTCAAGTTCATCTAAAACTGTTGTTAATTTTTCTTTGTTCGTCAAATCTTCTGAATAACTTTTGTCACTGATTTTAGAGAGTTCTGCATTTTGTAATTCAAGTTCTTCGATTTTAGATCTGTACATTTCGTCTTCTTCTGCTTTCTTATGGGAAAGATCATTGAATTGTTCTTTAGCTAATGAAAGCTCATTCTCTAAAACACAAATTAATTTGTTGAATTTGTTGCAAAATTCATTTCGTTCACGTTCATATGAAAGACGTTCATGTGAATTTTGATTTTCGCTTTCTTCTAAACGACGAAGTGTTTCTGAAAGTTTTTGTTCTAAATCAACAACAGCATGTGATGGTGTGAATTCTGATGAAACAATATCAATAAATTGTTCAAAGTCTCGTTTGAAGTCGCCTGTAAAATCATCAACAAAATTAGGAATAACTTCTTTGAGTTTATCTTTGATTTCACTAAGTTCTTGTGTTTGTTGTGATTGTGAGTCAAGTTGACTTAAAAGTGACTTAATATATGATTTTGATTCTTTAAGTTCGTTCTGTAATGAAAGAACGGTCTCTGCTGAATCTGTCAAGGACATGTTGATTTGTGCGTAGATGCAGAACAATGTGTACAATTCAACATATGGAGATTGATCGATCAATGAATCATCAACGAAGTCGAAGAAAAGTTTAGCAATGTTTTCTGGATTGTTCATTGTAACTGGATCGAACATTGAGATTCTTGAAAATTCTTTGTTAGGAAGATAGATTTTGTGATCATCAATGAACTTGCCAAGACGTGCACATTGTTGGATAATCTCTGTACGACCATCTTGACCAATAACATTGATCTGTGAACGTGAGATTTTACGAATGAAATCAACACAGTACTGAAGTTGTTCAAGAAGTGCTTGATGACGTTTCTCGAGGTTGCTGTATTCAACACTTTGTTCTGATGTGTTCAGATCTTTGCTGTCAGAGAGAATGGCATCAATAGTACAGCGGAAGATTTCTGATTTAGGAAGACCGTTCAATCGTGAGACTTGGTCAACAACACTAACTGGAAGGACATCAAGGACATGGTCGAATGCATCGTTGAATGAACGATCTTCGACTTCTCGTTCGGCATTGATCTGTTTCATGAATGAGTCAAGTGATTCTTCCGCTTTTGTCTTAGATTCAAGTGCACGTTCTACAATTGATTCGTGTTCACGAAGAAGATTTTCTGTTCGTTCAAGATTGTTCAACAAAACAAATCTTGTTTGATAAAGTTTGCTGATCTCTTCGCGTTGTGAATTAAGTGTATTCTCAAGATTACTTAATGATTCATGTAAAAATTCATTTTCTGATTCAAGATGTTGATTGATTGAGTTTTGACCACTTTTCTGTTCATTAAGTTGTGTTTCGAGTTTAGACTTTTCTTCATTTAACTGTGAAACACGAATTTCAAGTTCTGATGATTTAGAATGTGCTGCGTCGAGTTCAACATTGACAGATCGGACCATGTCATTGGATTGTGATAATTTCTTCTTAAGGTCTGAAATCTTATCCTTAGATTGTTGAACTGAATATTCGCTTTCTGAAATTGTATTTTGAAGAATTTCGATTTTAGCAGAAAGTTCTGCAATCTTAGCTTCTTTCTGGTTTATTGTTTCATTAAGCTTCTTGATCTCTTCTGATTTCTGTTGGTTTTCTTTTTCTGAGATATTAAATCTTTCTTGTAACAATGAAATCTTTGATTCGTATAATTGTTTAGTACTATCAGGTAATTGTGCTGGTTGTGGGTTCTTCTGAAGTTGATCAAGCTTGTCCTTCAAAGAAATAACAGAAGATTCTTGTTCATCAACGGCTTTTTGGCTTTGCATGTATTTGTCCTGCATATCAGCTAGCTTTTGATTTAGTATTTCTATCTTCTTTTCATAAGGCTGGATAATGGAATTAACGTCTGGAACATTTTTTTGTTGCTCCATTAAAGCCTTGATGTTTTTCTTCAGTGCTGACTTTTCTTCTTTATCAGCAAGAAGTTTTTCGCGTAATACTTCAATGTCTGAGTCGTAGCCGATTAATGTTTTTGAAAGTTTATCGATTTTGTTCTGGAGAGCAAGGTTTTCTGCAATGATATCGGAGATGGCAACAGTTGCGTCCCTCAGAGTTGTAATAGGGCGTGATAATTGGTTAGTCAATTTTGAATAAAACTGTGAAAGCTGCATTTCTTGTGTTCTTATGTCGTTGTTAAGCATAGAATTTTTGTTCTGTAAAGATTGGATCTTAATATTGTAATCATTTTCCATCTGAATTTTCTTATTTATTAAATCAGAATTTTCTTTATCTCTTAACTCGATATTTTCTTTTAATGCATTAAGCTCTCGATTATAATTAAGTTGAGATATCTTTGTAGGAAGCTCGTGTGGATCGTCGTTATCATTTCTAACACCTAACACAGTTTTCGGAAATGCTTGACGAGAAATGGGAGGACTAGCACGTGGAACTCCAACATTCGCGCACGGATTATAGTTTTTCTGAGTAAATGGTGTTTTATAAGACATTTAAATTTTCCTAAAAATAAATTATTTTTTTTAGGCGCCAAAAAAAAAATTTAGTAAACGGATTTATTATCTTGTCACTACTCATTAAAAACCAAAATATCACTGTATCGCAAATATAATTATCTGAATTTCATGGTATTATCTCATATGAAATTATATATCTCAATTTAAAATTACACATTTCTGACAACAAACGCATAGAATATGACAGCACTAAGATACAAAATTGGCAAAAACTAAACTATTGGAACCAACAATCAGTAAACATGGCAGTGATTCCTACAAATAAAGTATCAAACAGCTTATTTAGGTGAAAAACTTATTACATGTTTTATAATGCTTATAATTAGCTTATTTTATATATAAATGTCCGCCTAATTTGATAATTCATTATGAATTGAGATATCATAATTAAATGTTAATCTGAATAAAAACATAAATAATATAACCAATATTTGAAACAAATTTTGCATATCAACAGATATTTTTGAAAATTATTTTTCATATTGAAAATTATTGTGATGAAGTTTAAATTCAATGAAAAAAATCAATGAAAAACTATAAAATTAATTATAAATTTGTTATATTTTTTTTTAAAGACGTGCAAAAAAAATTAAATATCTTGCAATTCTTTTCCATCAGAGTTAGAAGAAGAAGAATCACTATTATCCTTATTATCATCCTGAGCCAATGGTGAATCAGCAGGTTCTTCGGCGTCATCTCCGAAGGCGTCTTCATTTGAGTCACCAAATGTCAACAAAGGATTATCTTTAGTCTTCTCAACATCACCTTCACCTTGTTTTGCATTCTGATCTGTTTGTTGTTGAGTTTCTGCAACAGCAGCTTCGACAGCTTGTTTCGTCTCTTCATCGAGTTGTTCTTTCGGTGGTTCTTGTTCTTTATTGAGTGCCTCTTGTTGCTGTTTGAGTTTCTCTGCCTTGGCTTGTGCTCTTTTCTCTCTTCTGATGGATTTCGCTTTCTGATTTACGAGATACAAAACAATTAAACCGACAATAACGATAACTAATACAATTACTACGGCAACCATCCATCCTGCCAATGGAATGAATCCACTGTTGCTCTCAGGAGCTGGTGTTTCAACTTTTTGAGAAGAATTAGTTTCATTATCTGGTTCAGGAATGATTATCTCCTCAGGAGGTGGACATGTATCATTTATCTCTTGATAAGAAGTTGGATAAGGCGATGTTTGGTCGCATGGTTGCCTTTTAATTGGAATATTTTGATTTCCTTGTGTAAATTGGGTCGAACCACCTGTATATGCTGGAGCAAAGATGTTAACAATGTTAGTAGATGATAAAGTAGTAGCTGTGAAGGTAATGTCTCCTTCAAAACAAAGAGTTCTTAAAAATGTTGAAGATGATGAGAGACAACTTGGATCAAATGAAGAAACTGTGGCTGGAATGATAAGTGTTTGGACACCAATATCATATGCATAGCCAGTATTCCTCTGTTCGTAGAAATTAGTGTTTATCGAATTTATATCTAAGGATTTAACGGAATTGGAGATCTTGTACGTCTTCGTGAGGTTTCCAAATGTAAAGAGAAGCTTGCTCGTGGATTTGTCAATAAATTCATGGTCGTTGGAAACCGTAAATTTCGGATGTCCTCCTGAAGGGAATGAGAACTTTAAGGCGGAATAAATATGGTCGAAGGCATTTGGTGCGATTGTGTGTACTGATAGTGGTATATTTATTTGGGTTAAGCTAGTTCCTGAAAAAGTATTGGATTTGATCTCGTAAATGTTCGGGAGAGTGATGGAAGTGAGCTTTTCGGCCTTGTAGAAGGCATGATCACCAATGGTTGATAAATAAATTGGTAAATTAATCGATGATATCTTGGAATTAGCAAAAGCATAGGTTCCTATGGTCTTCAAACCCTTTCCAATAGCTAATTTTCGTATATGAGATTCATAAAATGCATAGGAAGAGATGGTTACCACTCCATTTAAGGTAAGATTTTTAATCTTTTGGGTATTGGCGAAAGAATATTGGCCAATTGTTGTAACAGAATCAGGAATAACGAAATCAACTAATTTAACGCAGTTTCTGAACGTATCATCTCCGATTGATTGAACTTTACCGTTAAGTGTCACAGTTTTCAGCATTGGGCAGTCCATAAATGTACCTTCAAGCTGCAATGGATCTGTCTGCGATGCGTCAGGACTGTAAGAGAATGAAGTCAAATTTCTGCAATTAAAGAACGTATAAGACAATGTCTTGGGGAAATATGCTGTGGCTGATGTAATGAACTGGTTTGACTGGAAGGCGTATTTCTGGATTGTTTCTACATCTGGAATTTCATATTGGCTGATGTTGATCGTTGGGAGGACACAAATGAGTTTCTTGTCATCGGATGATGTAATGATTCCATTTGTGTTCTTGAAATTGCCGTTCACTGTAATTTCGGCAAGATTTTCACACAATAAGAAAGGTTCGATGTAAAATTGCGTGGCCGAACTTGCCAATACAATTTTTGTGAGGGTTGGGAGGTTGTAGAATGGTTGGTTTTCAGGTAATGTTTGAGATGAGAAATTATTACCAACAGTTACTGTTTGGAGCTTCGTATTTTGGAATGCTGCTGCTCCAATACTTGTTGCCTTACTTACATCTACAGTTGTAAGCGCTGTTCCGTAAAATGCGTAAGGATTTATGATAATAGGCTTACTAGGGAACGTTACAGATGTAAGTGATGAACAGCCATTGAAAGCGCTATCTGAAATTGTATCTGTATCTTGTAAAGTGACAGATTTCAAATTTGTACATCTCATGAACGCGAATTTGTTTATTGTTGCTCCTATTATCTTCAATGTAGTTATAGCTGTTAATCCCATGAAGGAGCCAGTGCCAGGATTACTAATTGTCTCTGGTAAAACTAATTTAACGCAATCAATGAAAGAATAGTCATAAGCAGTGGTGATCCTAGGTACTGATGTCAATAATGAGCATTTCGCGAAACATCTTTCTTCATAAAAAATATCAGTAACTGTATTCGAGACTGTGAACGTTGTAAGCTTGTCACAAGCAAAGAAACCTTGTGATTTGATCGTAAGACTTGTATGTGTCACATCAATATTGATTGTTGTAAGAGATTTGCAGTTACTAAATGTTTCTTCATTGATGGAGTTCCTGCAACTGACTTTTGCAAGTGTAAGGAGGACACAATTCTCGAAAACACTCTTTGCTGTAATATCTATTGAAGGAACAAGATTATTTGAAAAAGATTTCAGTTTGTAGCAGTTCTTGAAGGCACTATCTTGAACGGTAATGAGTCATTCAGGTCCTTGAATGGTCTCAATTGATGATTTTTCAAAGGAATTTGATTTGCAAATTAATTCTGTTCCTGCAAACGTAATTGTTGAAATTCCTGTGAAGGCTAAAGCACTGACACCAACTTGTTTAACTGTTCCTGTAATTGCTGTTAATTTATAGCAACGATAAAAGGATTTGTCATTTAGAACGAATTCTTTGCCAGAAGGAAGCGTTACTGTAGTCAATTGATAGCATGAAGCAAAGGCGCTTGTTGGAATAGTTGTAATTGTTAATTCGCTAAGATCTGCAACTTTGATACCGGAATATTCAAAAGAACTATCCGAAATTGATGTAACTTTGCTTAGATCGATGGTCTGGAGATTAATACATCCGTAAAATGCTCTAGAGCTAATTTCTTTAATATAATCCATATTAATTTCAGTAATTCCTGAATTTTCAAAGCAATTGTTCGGAATTTTTGTAATAGATTGTGGTAAGATTACTTTTTTGAGTTGCGGAAGAGAATTGAAATTTGTTTCTAACTGAGAAACTTGGTTACTGCTTAAATCAATAACTTGAAAATATTTGAAATATCGAGTGAATGAAAAGAAATTAACATTGGGGCCGAGTTTCAAAGTTGTGACAGAATTATCCATTAACGTGGGAAGATCAAGATTACTGGAGTCAGAATCCGTATCAACTGTGATAACCCCATCTGTTTTACTGAACTCATCTAAATGTACGCATTTTTCAGAAAGGATATGCGTAAAAACTAGCTTTTGGAACATTATAAATTTTTGAATTGAAACTTTATGAAATGTAAACAATTTCTATTTCACTCGGAAAAAAAAATATCTAGCTTAAGATAAAACAATAAAAATATGAAATCAATTGTTTATTTTGAATTCCATTTCAATTTAAATATATAGTAAGGATTGATATTGAATAATCATAATTGAAATAATATTATCATCTCAGAAATCTAACCACCAAATTTTGAATATAACCGTTCCTCTTTTCAATATATATCCTTATTCTAACACAATGAGGAGAAGATATGATAATTGAATTTCTGGTTTGTTTTGATTTCAGAATTTGTGAAAGTCATTGTTACGGAAAATTTAACCAGCATTGGTAAACATATTTATTTATCGACAAATTGAAATTATCCGATTCTTTTACATAAAAGTGACAAAATTATAATGTTGACAACGTTTAACTTGATCCGATGTTTTTATCACGATCGAATTATATTTTCATGAGATGAAATCCATCCATAGGCCTGATCACTATGATCCATTTTTTCCTTTGATAAGTAATATTATATTGTTTAAAATTACAAACACTTTTTAAACAATTGTCATGTGATCAGATAATGCTTTACAATAGTTTATTCAAGACGGAGCTATAAAGATCTCAATGCCAAAACCAAAATTAATTTATTTTATTTAAATCGCTATAAAATGATTGATCATGAAAATCACTCTGTTGATTAATTCATATGGGACATAAAATCAAATATCCATCAATAGAAATTATCTGAATTAAACAAATTCACGAAAAGTAATATATCATAGTATACAGTTTGATTCAATAAATAATATAAGAATAAGGCAAAGTTGCATTTTTCCCAGAAACCTTATTTCAGTTTGTTTGAATTATTGGAGATATTTTTAAAGTACATGATTGGCACGTATTTCGTAGAGTTTTAATGGGTTTGCCCTCATACGATACCTTCAAACTTGTACATAATTACAAAAAGAGTAGGGGAATTAGAATCGTATTCGATAAGTTTACATTGACAAAAAAACGATATTTTGCAGTAAACAAACGATTAAAATTCAAATCGAATAATTGATTAATAAAATGAATCCCTGGTTGTAAAACTTCACAAATTAACAATCTGTAAGTCTTTATTCAATTTTAAATTAAATTCGGTTAATTGTTTCTTATTAGAGTGTAAGTGATAAATACAAATATTTTATAAAAACAAGAAATTTTGCAAATTACCTCAGACTTTTCAGAGGATTAAGTGGCAACTCAATCCTCTGAAATAGTCTGTGGTAATTTTTAGTCTCTACACTATTTCAATATAAGCTCCATTTTTAAACAGTTTTTAAAAATCGAGCATTGAAAAGTGTGATGAGACTTAGTTTTCAATGATTTGAATTAATCTTATCGAAAAGTATAACTTATCATGAAAAATAGAATTTTTGAGTTACTATGATTAATGAACTTATTCTTAGTATTTTCGATTTTGGTTGAACATTTTTTCCTTTAAAAAATGTTATTGTATTTTATTATTCGGAACATTATTTAAAATAAGGTTGAGTAATTTTTACATCCAAGTCAATTTTTCATTACTTATCAAAATCATATTGAATTGAAAATAATTAATGAATTTATATGAATAAAAAATATTCCTATTATATATACGTTTTAATTTCTTACTTTTTAAAAAATTTATATTCAATTCATACTCAGAAAAGTATTTTTGAATTACGTGGTTAATTCAATCTATTTTGTGAGTATCAAATTTTAAATCATTTAAATTACAATGAGTACTCATAGTTTAGAATCATATCAGATCAAATATAACATCGGAAAAGGCGGATTTGCTCAAGTTTATTACGCCATCCACAAGCTCACAGGAACTAAAGTTGCAATCAAAATCATTCCCAAATCGAAATTCTCAGATGATACAGACTCAAAAATCAGAATACAGCGTGAAATCGAGATACTGAGGAAAATACGCCACCCATTCGTCGCAGAACTTTTTGATGTTGTCGAAACAGACGATAATATTTGCATCATCATGGAATATGCTCAAAATGGAACCCTTCTCAATTATCTTAATGAGTTTGGTCCATTCACTGAAGAAAATGCTAAATTAATTTTTGCACAATTAATTATTGTCATGAAATACTTGTTTAGCAATTTCCAAATTGTTCACAGAGACATCAAAGCTGAGAATATCCTTTTAGACTCAAATAACAATATACGTGTTATCGATTTTGGATTATCGAGTTATCAGCTCGGAGGACAGCTTTTCAAAACCCAGTCCGGATCGCCATGCTATGCTTCACCAGAACTACTATTATGCAAAGAGTATACCATTGCAGCTGATATTTGGAGTGCTGGAGTTTTATTATATGCTTTAGTATCAGGAAATTTGCCATTTCAAGACCAGAACATGACAAAGCTTGTTCAGAAAATTGCTTTCAAAGAGTTAGATTATCCAGATAATTTTTCAGATCAGTTAATTGACTTATTAAAGAAAATTCTTCAGAGAGATCAGAGCAAGCGCATAACATTAGATGAGATAATGGCTCATCCATGGGTTAAGGATTCCATTAAGACAATGACAGACAAATTGCTTCAGTTTTCTCTTGACAAAGAAATGATAAATTCCACTCTGAAGATATTAGGGTTCAATACTACCCAAATCGAGAAAGATCTTTACTCCAATATAATAAATCAAGGAACAATTAGTTACAGAATTTTAAGAAGAGAATATTTTTTGGCTAATTTTCCTCCTTTATTCCATACTTGCAAGGAAGGAAAATCGATGAAGTCAAATAGCCACAATGCTATCGAAGCACTTCCAAGGCTTGATAATAAGCATGTTAACTTTGGAAATCGTATGTCACTTCCATCACAACAAGCAACACCAGTGATCATTTCCAAACGAAGACACTGCCCATCTCCGGTAATTCATATGCCTCAATAAGCGGTTTTTTCTTTTATTATGATTTTGTTTTGTATTTGTTTGTTTTTTAAATATATATTGTCGATTTTTATTGAGCCTTCTTTTAATTTCATCTGTTTTGATATCCGAAATCAAAAAAGGAGTACGTGAATATAATATACCGAACTTACGGACCCAAATTTTCCGTCAGAAATCCATATAATAAAAACATAGTAACTTCTTATTATAACCAATCTATTCTTATGAGATATATTTTATAGATCATAATATCAATCATATATTTAAAAACGATGTAACATTTACCGATAAAATCTATCTAACAAGCTTGATTTTAGATTGTCAGTCATTAATTCCATTTAATTTAAAAAATATTTCTGAAACCATCTAGTCGAACTATTTACATTTCCACTTCATATAATACCTAAGCAGAAAAATATATCAATGATAGAAAAAAATTGTTGAAACGGAAAAATTTGGAATGTAATGATTTTAAATATTCGTGCAATTAAGCTTTTAACATTGGTAAATGATAATAAAGATATAGTCAAAAGTAAATCTAGGAGGAAATGGTCAGATGCCCTGTTCAGCTGCCTATGATTTCGAATGAACTACCAATATATGCAATTTTAGTAAGTTTAATTTCATAAAGGAATTTATTGATACTGTAGCCAGCTATTTTTAATGTCAGTATTGATTTTGTTTTCTCGGTAGGAAAGAAAGAAAAAAAAATCGGAATGTTGCATATGGAGAGTTCTAGTGCTTCATCATCGATATCTCCATCATTTTCACCATCGTCGATGAAGCTTCCTACATCCTCTCCCGAAACATCTTTAATTGTAACATCCAGCTCTAAATTTTTCTGTTTTCTTCTTGATTATTCAAAAGATACAAATCCTGAAATTATATACAGTAGTGATTTTCCAGATGATAAGACCTTGTTCATCAACTTTTTATCAAAAATAAAGATATCTATGACTCAATCTTTTGATCCGATTATATATCAACATGCATATGACAAAATTTACTTCACATCATTCTACTTTTTAGTTTGCGATAGTAAATCACCAACTTCCTTAAGAAAACTCGCAATTATCGTTGGAAATCAAGATAGATCGTTTTTAATCAATGCTCAACAGAAATTTAAGAAAGACATTCTCAAACTAATACAACAGATACAACATAGCTCATTAGAAATTTACAAAAAAGAAAATCCAAATGAAAATCAAGAATTTTTATCAAAATTAAACATTCCTAACAACGGCAACACCAGTTCATTATTCACAGATAACACAAGACCTCAAACACTAGTAGAATTTATTAATTTTCCAGATTTACATAAAATTTTACAACAAATCATTGATTCTGCGCCAAGATCATCATTTTTAAGTTACATACAACTTAGATGCGAGCTTCCTTCTATAGGATCTACATTCAAATTCGGTAAATTCCAAAATCTTTATGATTTCATGTCATTTATACAATCTAATGAAGTAAACAGCTCATTAATACGCATGTTAGACCTTGTTGATAGTGATACTCTCTTCCATTGCATCTTTTCCATCTTATCTGGAAAAACTTTAGTTATTAAGTCATCTGACACAGAAAGTGCCACATCATTAGGTCGCAGATTCACTTTATTTGTTCCATTCTACACAGAATCCTACTTCACGGTCGCTGAATCCCTTACTGTTGTCGAATCTTTGAAATACTCCATTGCAGTGGTAAATAATTTCCCTTCCGAAATAAAAAGTGCCGTTTCTCTGTTGGATCTCGACAGTAAAATGTACAAAGGCGAAAGTTGCCCGCATAAGAGTTTTGTCTGGTCAGAACTAAAGAAACAGTCGAAGTTCAATGAGGCAACATTCTTGACTACTTGTTACAGAGAGATAATGAAGGTTTCTGGTAAATTTGCAACATTTTTGTCGATATCAAAATTAAATAACAGAGAAGATGCGATGAAAGGCCCTTCCCAAGCTGGATTTTCCAAAGATGATGAACCTATATTTAAATATTGGGTTCAATGCGCTTCAAATCAACAAAATTCAAGACCTATTTTACCAAATAATAGATCTAAGCTCGGTATTGTTATCACTGCATTGTAAACTGTTCATATGTTTTGTTTGCTTTTAAATTATACTTGTTTTTTATTAATATAATAATTATCATAGAAATATTTAATTTTTTTCATGAAATTGAGTGAAAATTCAATCAAATTATTATACATGGCACGGCGGGCGCAAAAAGTGACAAAATAGAATACCTATGGTGGCAAGACAAAGGAAACATTTTTGTAAGGCAAACATTATATCAAATACCTTTACTTTGTAATAAGAAATATAATTATCACGAAATTACAAATAAATATTGTTTAATATAATTAATAGCAAAATTGTTTTTTATTATTTCCCTTAAGACCTTACTTATTAAGTATACGTATAACAAGCTTGTACTGCATGTATTAGTTAATAGAACAAAAGAAAATGAGCTCAAATGAAAAAAATTTTCATGCTATTTTGGAAATATGCATATTCGAAGTATGAGAGTTGTAAACACTGAGAATTTTAAGCTTTGGTTGATGATAGTCTTTAATTTTTCTTGAAGTAGTAAATTATTTGATATGAAAATTTAATGGCCAGCATAATCAATCGTGCGTTTCGTTTCTTGATTGAGAAACGATGATTGTGTGCTAATGAATTATTGCGTCTGACAGGTTATGATTATGGATACCTGAAATTAAGCTTTTATGGGAAACATCACCGAGCGCCATTTGGCGCCCCTAATGCTGTTTCTATCGGTATGATTAAGGAGCTTTCTTATGCACTTTCATCGCTTGAACTTGAACGCTACAAGATATATGCCCCCCTCCCAATGGGAGGTGGGAGCAAAAATTGAAATGTTTACATTGATTTTTGAATACTTTACAAGCACCCCTCCCAGTGGGCGCAAGTGATCGGGTCAAAAAAAATCATAAAAATATTCAAAATTGCGATTTTAATAGATGTTTAAGAAGTAAATTTATTAATAACGATATTTCATAGTACAAAATGTGTTCAATCTCTTCGTAAATCATTCAAAAAAATCAAAAGAATTTCCAAAATTCAATTTTTTTAGTAAAATTTATATCTTTTTCTATCGTCTCCTCCCCACCAGTGGGAGCCACCGGAGGCGCGGGCGGCGCCGCTGGCGCCAAAAAAGTAGCGCCCATCGTGCCATGTTATGGCATTCCAAACGGGAACCGCGGTTGGTTACCATGGATTTCCGTCACCGGTCACATTTTAAAGATTTTTAAAGCCTTATAAAAATATGCTTTGTAAATCATTTTTTGTAAATCGGCAAAAATTTGGTAATTTTCTTCAACTAATAAATCTGCGAATAGCATTTATAATACAAGAACAATCTTTTAAAATGCGTTTGATTCATTTTTGTATAATTTCATATAGGCACATATATTCTTCCGGGACTTTCCGTGATTTTACCGTAAAATCATTAGTTTACACCAATTTTTCCGTATTTTGAATAGTTTACTGCACTTTTTCCGTAAAATTGAGTTACGGGAATCCGCAAAATTTCCGGACCTCATTTTTCATAGAATATAATAATAATATTTGATAAAAAGATATATTATTTATATTTTTGATTTTTGAATTACGGAAAAAGTGAATTGATAACTTGATTTTTTTATATGGTTAATTTTTCAAATGATATTATGAAGATCTAAAATATTAAAAGTAAAAAATTGAATTACGGAAAAAGTGAGGTCAAAAGTGAAATAAATTTGCAGAACAATTTTCATTGAAATAAGACATTGAGTATCACACTTTAGTGAATCAACATCTATAAGAATGAAGTGTTTTGAAGCTGAAATAATATTGAATAGAAATTAATTTTTTCTGAAATTTTGAATGAAATTATGGGAAATAAAAAAATTACTAAATATTGTATTCATACAAATATATTATTTTAAAGGAAAAATAGATGCTGATAGAAACGATGAAAAATTTTGAAAACTTTACAATTAATTTATGTTCGTTAACCACAGAGCTTGCAATCCAAAGCTCACGTTAGACTACAAGAGTCATGAAGTCTCATACTAAGGGATATCCAACATATATTTTAATAATCTAATGTTTGTGACAAATATTCAACATAAAATTAAGTTTTCGTTTCGTTACAAGGCATTCATACTTTGGAGATATCATATTTAATGTACAGAAAAGTTAATATTAAACAATACATGCTAAAGAATTAATAAATAAGATATAAAATAAATTTATACGTAATTACTTTCATTTAATATGCTTTATGCTGTATAATATTGATTAAGAGGCATTAAAAGGTTCCATAGTCTGCTTTTATAGGCAAGATTTTTGATAAAAATTTAAAATTTTGAAAAATGATGAGAAAAGGAAAAAAGGTAAATGAGAGCAAGAGGAGGGAAAAAAAAGAAAAAGAAAAGAAAGGGAAGGGAAAAATAAAAGAAAGAAGGACATATAAAAATTTAGATGCGCATTCTTAATGCCGAGGCGGCTTGCCGCCGAGGCGCGATTTTTTTAGGCCTCTACGGTAACCCGGCAATGTTTTTTTAAATCTTGTACAGCCCTATGCCATGTATACAAATTATTATTAATATCTTATGTATTCATAGAAACAAACAAACATAATTTTATAATAAAAGGAAGATCTATTGTATCAAATAGTTCTTTGACATCTGGATGAATTTGACATTTAGAAAGTGAATACTCATCATTATCATTTAAAGACAGTGGATAACATTTTTTAACAAGTAATTTTTTAAAGTTTTTATGATGAATATGGTCAAAATATGGTTGGATGTTTCATTTAGGTGGAAGTAAAAGGAAAACAAAGAAACATGCAAAGTAATTTAAGAAATAATAAGACTGAATCGAAGGACAGTAGATCATATCATACGTTGCTGGAACCATAGCCCACAATCTAACATGTTTTGTTAACTGGTTGTTGCTGTTCGTGGGAAGGCCTATTTCAATATATTGATCATGTGCTGTACAATATAAGCCAATGGCATAAAAGTAATAGCTTCGCCCAGGATGGCCATCTATTAATGTCGTAATTCTATCGTCATCCTTTATTGTGTTTTTTACGAGTCCTCCCCATTCAGAAGAGGGAATTTCAGTTAAATTTGCTTTAAAATCAGTAGCTTCGTAATTTCCTTCCTGTTCTATATCATCAAGTGGTGAGTGGAGTTGTTGAAATACGTTAATCTTTTCGAGTAGTGGATAATCAAGAATAAAGTGGCGAAAGTTATCTTCCATAACATACGTACTGGAATTGAGGTCATCAAGAATGGAAAACATACCTTTGGAGTTGTTGTGACGAGCGTCACTTTCACTGTCAAAGCATTTCCCATAATTTTGATCATGATCAAAGACTAACTTATATACTTTTCCATCGTATATACTGTATATGAAATTTCTCCCATGTATTGGAATTAATTTCACTCAAAAGTATAAGGTCGCCAAAAAAAAGTGCGGAAATTAAAAACCGCAGTTTGAGTACTTTCTGAGAGTCTGTTTGTCAGAAAGTATACATTTGTAAACTTTCTGACACTAAAATTTTTATTTAGTCCTTTCAAAGTTTTTGACAATGTCAAAAAGTATACATCGGGGCTCTCAATTTTCCTCTCAAACGGCGGTTTTTTAAAAACGCTTATTTTTTCATCGACCTTAAATGGTTTTGTAAAATAAAACGGCACTTTTTGATTTTGAATAGTCGTTGTATTTAAAATTGAATATTCTGATTCAAAAATATTTTTATTGTAATTAGTCGTATCATTGTATATTCTCAGGTGACACCCTTTCTAAGACATATGCGAATAATCAGATTATTACCAGTGTTGATATCAAGAGTCAAATTAAAGATATGCTTATCATTTCTTTAATTGATCTTCATTAATAAATGTATCATTAAGTGAAACTGTTATGTCTATCGGAAGTTTCGCGTTTTCTGTATGCTCAAATCATTAGATCTGTCCTCTGAAAATATGAATTGAATCCATCATATGAACTCTATCTAAAATTTCTTTGATCATATATGAAGTTATCGATTTCTAAACATATTTATCTATATGATCTACTGTCCTTCGATTCAGCCTCATTATTTATAAAATTATCTTTGTGTGTTTCTTCGTTTTCCTTTTACTGCCACCTAGATGAAACATCCAACCATATTTATCAATAAAAATTAAGTTATAAATGTTTATTAATAAAAAAATAATTTTATTTTAACAATAATATTTATTCACAGTATGTTTGATTGATCCAATCAGCAAATCTTGTGATATCTGATTCAAGGGAAAGCCATCCAATTGAAACTTTTGCAGCGCATTTTCCATCTTTGTTGCAGCCGCTATTTATAACGAAACCATTGTCACAAGCATCATTAACAACTTGATTATAGTCAACAACTCCATTTTCAGATGAAATTTCGAATGAAAGTATCGATGATGAAGGATTTCCCAAAATTTTCACGCATTTTAATTCAGAAAACGTATCGTAAAGTTTTTCTGAGAGTCTATTAACGTATTCCAAACGTGCTGATCCAATTGTTTTGAGGATATCTATTGAATCTACAGCTGCAGCGATGGTTAAAAACGGAAGAGAGCCATCTTCAAGTCTTTGTGCTGGTTTAAGACGTAATTTCTCGAATGGTTGTGTTGTCAATGCGTAAACAAGAGTTCCGCCACCGAAATATGGCTTATCCATGAATCTTATCAACTGATTCTTGATAATTACAACGCCAAGTGATGGGAAACCAACGACACCATCAATACTGAATATTAGTCCGTCGAACTGATGAGCAGAAAGGTCAAGAGTGTTTGTTTGGAGATAATCTGTTGCATCTGCTAAAACAACAGTGTAATTACCATGGGATTTAGCGGAAAGTACTTCAGTTATCTCTTCTTCTGTAAATATATGGCCATCAAATCTGTCAACAAGTGGAGTAATAACAATATTATTAGAATTACGTGAAAATTTGCTGAAAAGTGGCTGGAGAGTATTATTTGTGTTGAATGAATGGATTGATGATTTTTTAGCCGCTGCAAATGAACTTAAACCAATAATATCAGCATCAGATGATGAAGAATATAAAAATGAAGATTTATCGGTAAATGGGAATGCTTCCGGGATTAATTTAAGTGATGCAAGACGGGATTGAGTGAAAACACATGTATATTCACTAAGATCTGTGTTAAACATCTCGAGAATTGAAATTCTAAGATCTTCAATAAGCTCATTTGCTGCCTCCGAACTCCTTGACTCTGAATGTGGATTGCCATAAAGAGTATTACTTAATTCATTCGAGTTTCTTTGAATTTGAGCATCAGTATAAAGAGATCTTGTGGAATAATCAAGATAATCATCATTTCCGATGCTTTTTGTGAATTTTTCTCTGATCTGTTGGACGAAATTACCATATGAATTTTCATTTGAATATCCTAAGAGATCTACTGATCTTTTGACTTGAGATCCAGATGAAAGAACAAAGAACTGATAGCATCCTGCAGCAATAATGCCTGAAACAAGTGCAATTGTGATAAGAAAATGGAAAATTATTTTCATAATAAAAAACGAAAAAAAAAATTCTCCCCCCTAAAAAAAATTTAAAAAATGGGTTGTGCAGCATCAAATGGGACGAATTTTAATGAGGAAGAGTTCTTTCAGTCTCTGCCTTCAGAGTCTAGTTTAGAAGTCCTTGAAACTACTCGAAATTCCGGTGTTTTCAAACAAAGATTAGAATTATTAAAGTCAATAACAACAGATATTTCAAACAAAACAGCTCGAGACCTCACAAATATTCCTAAGAAGTCTATTTTAATCATTTGTGAAACATTAAATCCAAAAACTCAAACTGACGCTGTTTGCTCAGTGAATGATTCTATATTAACCGCTAAATGTGCTGAAGCATTTGGTTTTTCTACATTTACACTTATTAATCCGCAGATTACAACAATGCTAACCGCAATTCGAATATTTTTATCAAAAGTTACTGATAATTTAATGATTTTCTATAATGGATTTCATAAGGCATCAAGTGAAAATCCAAATAAATCATTTTTGACGTCTGCTGATCAATTAATTCAGATGAAAATTTTTATAGAATCATTTCATGCTTATAAACTTCCTTCTTCCAATGTTTCATTCTTTGTTGACGTAGATCATACTGATATTGGTCAAATTACAGTTCCAAATAATTTGCCACCGAAATGTGCAATTTTTACGCCAACTTCTAAGGCATTTCTATCATACTTCATATGGAAAGCTCTGAAAGTGAACAAATCAATATCAATTAAAGATCTTATCGATACAATTAACCAACAACTGGAACCACTTGGTGGAAAGATACAAGATTTATGCGGATCAGATATTAATAGGGAATCTCCGTTTATTAACTCATAAATTTGAATGAAAATCAAAAAATTAATTAATTTTTTAACTGGCATTCGTATTCTTAGCAGATTTGATGAGACTCTACCAAATTTAGATCAATTCTTATTTTATTTTTGTGTTTTTATCCTTTAATTTAAAATGATAATTTAATTTTTGAAATTATTTTTGCTCTAACTATAAATGTTAATAAATGAATATTGTTATGTCTATTTTATTGAACTCCGAATATCCGTACAAAGATTTTTGATAATTTTGCATGAAACTTGACGGTTGTGAATGATTCAATTATATCTATTTTGGTACTTTTTAATTTTCCTTAGAAAATCTCTCTATGGAGTTCCGCTCGTACCATGGAAAAAAATAACGAAAATCTCTCTATGGAGTTCGGAATTTGAATTTGAAACGGATGGTTCAATCAAATATATAGTTATGCATGATCAGATTGATAAATTCAAGGAGTATTTAACTCAAAACTCAATATCTCATGATGATGTTTTTCTCGAAATTCCTAATTTAGAGAAAGTTGATTATTTTAATTCTTTTGTAGAGTTATCATTAGTTGAAACTTGTGCCTACTTTGGATCTGTTAATATTTTTTATTTCTTAATTTCTAATCATTATTGTAAAATAACTGAAAAATGTCTTCGCTACTCAGTAATTGGAGGAAATCAAGATATTATCAACGAATGCTTGAAAGAAAATAAAATGAAAATTGTTTGTTTCAGAAGCATTATTAGAACACACAATCATAAATTGCTTGAATATGTTTTAGATAGAGAGATATTCACGCAAGATGATTTATATGGCGAGAATTATCAATCTACTAAAGAATATGATTGGACGGATAAAAAATTTAAACCTATTTATGAAGATATCATCAGATATCAAAACCTTAATGCTGCATTTCTTCTATTCAAAAGGAACAAATATTATATTTTTCCATGGGCTGCTGCATTTCCGCAAACAATAGATATTTTCAAAAACAATACATTTTCTAACAAACTTAATCACGCTGATGGTGGAATTATTCATTTTGCATGTAGGTCACCCAATTCTGATATTTGCAGATTATTACTTGAGTCATACAATCAAATTATAGTTAATGATGATGAAGTTGAATTAGAAGGAGAAATCCATAATGAAGAACGTATTTTACATGGACTTAATATCAATGAAAAAAACAAACATGGAAAAACAGCACTTTGTATTGCAGTAAGAAATGATAATAAAGAAATGATAGAGATTCTTATTTCATATGGTGCAAATGTCAATGAAAAAGATGAAAATGGGAAAACCGCTCTTCATTATGATGCATATAATAATAGTAAAGAAACAGCCGAAGTTCTTATTTCACATGGTGCAAATATTAATGAAAAAGATGAATATGGAGAAACAGCTCTTCATATTGCAGCCCATGAAAATAGAAAAGAAATAGCCGAACTTCTTATTTCACATGGTGCAAATATTAATGAAAAAGATAAATATGGAAAAACAGCTCTTTATTATGCAATAGAAAATAATTGTGAAGAAATAGCCGAACTTCTTATTTCACATGGTGCAATTATCAATGAAAAAGAAAATACTTTTAATCAATCATCATCTGATTATTGACATTGTTCCTCATCTGAGATGAAAATAAATAAAAATAATAATAAAAATAAAATAAACTTTTAAAGAAGGAAATAAGTTTAAAAAGAAAGATTTAGTTAAATAGATATAAAAACATATAAAGATGCAAAAAGAGTACGAATAAGTTGATTTTGATGACAAATATTTTGAGTGCACAAAATATCATGGAATAGATAGCTTAAAGGAACTTCAATGGAATTTACTTTTGCAAACAATCTAACTCTTCGAACAGTTCCATCAAATCCCGGAATACCTTCTTTTATATAATCACCATTCAAACTTTTGTTGCAATACATTCCAATTGCAAAATACCAAAATCCTATTAGTGGTTGTCCATCAAGTAATGAATTCTTATAAGGATTATAAACTAAGCCACCAAAATGAGTATTGGGATCAGGATCATAATAGTCGGCTTGAATTTCGATGGGTTGGTAAGAGGAGGCATTCTTTGATGTAGTGCGATCGGTGTCTAAGTATGGAGGAAGAAGTTGACTCCAAACGTTGAACTTGCGTTTGCTTGGATATTCAAGAATGAAATGAAGAAATCCATCGTCACTCACAAAATTGCTTTCGTTAAGATGTGAAAGGATGGAATATTTACCAGAAACGTTGACTTCGAGAGCTTCACTTTCGTTAGAAAAACATGGATTAATGGTATGATTATGTTCAAAAACGCGTAAATAATACTCATCTTTGTACTTCGCAGCAACAATCTCTCTGTTATAATATACTTTGAGAACTATTTACAAATTATCAATTGATAACTAATAATTTTCATTTGGTAACCTTAAAAATTACAAGGTTGGAACGATATAAAAATTGTAAAGTTTTCAATATTTTTTATAAGATAAGAGCTTAGTTATTGTAAAGTTTTCAATATTTTTTTCTTAGAGTATAGGGTTCTTATTTTTAATATGTGTTCAAACAGATAACTATGGAGTTAGATATTCAGATGACTGGAGTTCAGTAAACTTTGTTCCAGCCACTCTTTCAGGCGATTATGTTTTCCCTAAATTATGCACAACAATTCCTGCCCTTCCTGGTGAAGAGATATATGGAAGTAGCATGTTTTTTCTTTGTAAGGACGCCCTTACATCCATTAGTTTTGAAAAAGGAAGTTTAATTACATCTATTTCAAAATTTTGTTTTGCAAATTCTTCTCTTGAAACTGTAGATATGAGTGAGTGCACCAAACTTACATTTTTAAACTATGCAATATTTCATAAATGCAAGTACCTCCGATCCGTTCAACTCCCACCAAATTTGTTAAGAATTGGTTCTGCTTGCTTCCAAGATACAACAAGTTTGACAAAAATTGATTTACCTAATTCTGTGACAACCATTGACGGATGGACTAGTATTGGAAGAGTTTTTGGTAATAGTGCTCTGAGTCAAATAAACATAAATGTCGATTCTAATTTGAATTATCTTGGAGGAGATGCTTTCACTAGCTGTAAATTAACTTTCTTTTTTATCCCATGGAAATTAACCAAACTTGAAGCCTCGTGTTTTGCAGGTTGTCCATTGAATGAAATAGTTATTGATGAGAGAAATACTGCCTTCAAGACAGACGGAAAGATTATTTATACTGGCACCAACAACAATACTTTATTATTCATTTCATCTACAAAAACCGGATCCTATACTGTTCCTTCATATGTTAGCACTGTTGGAACTGCTGCTATCAGAGGTGGAAAACTTAGTGAAATCATTATGCCTGAAAATGTGAAAACTCTAAATGCTTGGTGCCTTTCAGGAAATCCTATTACTACATTTACATTCCCAAGTGGAGTTACAACAGTACCAGGATCAATGTTTTATGGATGCGAAAATCTGATAACAGTTTACTTCACTAATAAAATCACTAAAATTTTGTATAGAGCATTTTATAATTGCGTACTTCTAAAAAATGTTGAATTACCATCAAACCTAACAGAGCTAGGAAGCGAAGCTTTCTATAACTGCATATCATTGAAAAGTATTTCATTGCCGGAAAGTTTAGAGACACTTGGAGATGGAGTTTTCTTATTGACTAGGGGTCTCACTATTAGCTTGCAGAATCCAAATTTAGTTATTGATGATTTTACGATGTATAGAGATAACAATCAGACTTTATTTACTTACTTGGGCTCCAACCAAAACTATAACATCACTGTTAAATCAAGCTGCACGCTTATTGCGCCTAAAACATTTTTGCAGAAAAAGCTTCAAAATGTCTACTTCAGTAACAATGAAAATATGACTATTGGTGCTTATGCTTTCGATTCTTCATTAATAAAATCAATTGTCATGCCACCAGGTTTGAACACCATTGAATCATATGCCCTCCAAAATTGTAAGATTCTTGAGAATGTCACATTCCTTGGTAACCAATTAAAGTCAATTCCAGAATATTGTTTTTATAAGAACTCAAATCTAAAATATATAAAATTACCCACATCAATTGAAAGCATAGGTAACTATGCATTCCAAGAGTGTCCTCTGCTTGGTGATATCGGAATCTCGTCGCTGAATTTATTGACGTCTATTGGTATTTCGGCGTTCAAATCAAGTGGTCTCACAACTGCAAATCTTTCTCCATCTGTTAGGACTATAGGTTCAAGTGCTTTCAGTGGAAGCAGTATCACTAGCTTAACAATTAGCTGTGATATCCCTCAGTATATGTGCCAGTTTTGCACATCTTTAACTACACTAGAAATGCAGGCAGGAATTGTAGAGATCAATATTTATGCTTTCAGTGGTTGCACTTCATTAATTGGATTTACTATTCCTACTAATTTGCAGACTATTGGAAGTTTCTCTTTCCAAAACTGTGAAGTTCTTGAAAATGTAAATATGGCAACAAATGGAAATCTCAACAGTGTTGCTGGAGGAAGCTTCCAAGGATGCTATAAACTCAAAGAGATCCATCTTTCTCCAATGGAAGAAAATTTTTCATTTTATAATGGTGCTTTGATGAATTTCAATCAAACACAATTAATTGTCTTCATTCCATACAGTGATATCAAAAACTTTGTTGTACCTAGTGAGATGGAAGTTATTGGTAGTAATGCATTCATGGGAAGTCCAAAACTCATGCGTGTATTCTTCAGTGGAAATAGAATCAATAGAATCAACTACCAAGCATTCAAAGATTGTAGTAATCTTAACCTTGTGTTTTTTGCATCATCTAAGATTGAAGTTACATTTGGAACAGAAGTTTTCTTAGGTTGCAATAATTTGAAGAAATGTGGATCATTCTCAGTTCCACCCTCAGTTAAAACAACTCTTTTGGAACAAGGAATTCCGAGTATTGCTTTTAAAGATGACTGCGAAACATCAGTTACTTGCAAGATTCGGCCCGATTTCAAGATATCATCTGCATATTTATTCCCATTTATAACTATGAATGTATAAACATTATTTTATATATTAATAATTTAAATATTTAAATGTTCGATTTTAATGTAAGAATTGATTGTCGCATTTTCTGCAAAGCTATTAATAATTGACATCTAGTAATATCATCTATAAATTTTCACATATATCATATAAAATTCATAACAATTTGAGATCATTAATATAATTTCGTTATTTGTTCGAATTTTCATAAATGTTGATATGAAATATTATCTCAGCAATATCATTGTTTATTAAAATTTTGGAATAATGAAAAGCTATGTTTAAATTTGAATTAATTGTAAAGAAGGAAATAAGTTTAAAAAGAAAGATTTAGTTAAGTAGATATAAAAACATATAAAGATGCAAATAGAGTACGAATAAGTTGATTTTGATGACAAATATTTTGAGTGCACAAAATATCATGGAATAGATAGCTTAAAGGAACTTCAATGGAATTTACTTTTGCAAACAATCTAACTCTTGGAACTGGCCCTGTAAATCCTGGGAATCCTCTAGTTATATAATCACCAGCCAATTCTTCATTACAATACATTCCAATTGCAAACCACCAATCTCCTATTTGTGGTTGGCCATCTAGAAGAGATTGCTTGTAACGGTTTTTAACGAGCCCGCCGAAATGGAATGTAATATTAGGATCAGGATGGTCAGCTTGAATTTCGATGGGTTGGTAGGAGGAGGCATTCTTTGATGTAGTGCGATCGGTGTCTAAGTATGGAGAAAGAAGTTGACTCCAAACGTTGAACTTGCGTTTGCTTGGATATTCAAGAATAAAGTGAAGAAATCCATCGTCACTCACAAATTTGCTTTCGTTAAGATGTGAAAGGATGGAATATTTACCAGAAACGTTGACTTCAAGAGCTTCACTTTCGTTAGAAAAACATGGACTAATGGTATGATTGTGTTCGAAAACGCGTAAATAATACTCGTCCCTGTACTTCGCTGCAACAATCTCTCTGTTATAATATACTTTGAGAACTATTTATGAAATTTCTTATGTCACTTTTTTGAGCAATTTTCAAAAAAAATTTATAAACTATTGAAATTTGAGATTTTTATCACTGAAGAAGCCCACAATTGAATGATAGAGGGTCAAAAACTGTGTATTAGCTTCAATAATGCTGAAAAGAATATGAATGTATCTCGGATGGTCTCCAATTTTAAAATTTTTTATAAAATGAATAAGCTAAATCTTGTACTATCTAAATAAATCATATTTTAATATATCAAATGCATTTTAACATATAATGTGGCATACAGCCTCGAATTAAAACCTACTTTTACCACCCACCACAAGAGAAAAATAAGAAATATCTATAAATAACTGTTAAAATTTGAGTTGACAGGGAAATTTATTTTCTAATAATGGCTACACAAACACGTATGACGAGCACAAGCTCCATTTTGCTGTTTTTTTTTCACCGATTGAGCCCTATTCAACGATCATCTAATAACTACTTCCCTATTATATCAATGATATAAAAACATCATCACGTGAATGTAGTGAAGAAATTGAGTATAAATAATAAGTATCAAACAATAATTATTTTTAGATATAGTAATTATCATGTTATATTAAGATGATTGATTCTCATTGTCGAAATAAAACTAATGCTGCGCCAATTTATGATAGATTATCGTCAAATCATCAGCGATTCTTACAAAAGATTTTGAATGAAAATTAGGTGGCGGAAAGTATCATATAACACATATTTTCCCATTTTCATTCTTATATATATGCTTAACTGGCCCCACATAGAATGTACAATATATCATGCTCTTCAACTTCCTGATAAAGTTGATGGACATAGAGAATGGTACGTTCCAAATGATTTTTTTGTTGAATCTTTTCATATTAGAGAAAGAACTCCGTATCCTAACAACTCAATCTTTATATTTGGACAGTTTTCAAACAACTTTGACCCTTCTTACGTCTATCAACGAAATTCATGGTTCAATGGATCCATAGCACATCTTAAAAACGTAATTGTTACGCCATGTTCGACACCAATGGACCATAATACGCTATATTTATTTGCCTATCCCTTTAGATACGATTCAATCTGGGGAATTCCTAAAGGAAAAGTAAAATACGAATACGAATGTGCCATATGTCTTGGGCATGGAGCTGTCAAGCGATATTATGGACACTTTTTCTTTGATTTTCTTGACCCACTTGTAATATTTCCACAAGAAATTGTCAAAAAGTCAGTTTTATTAAATGTACCGAATTACACTCACGGAGATGCTACCAAATTCCTCAAAGCATTAGGAATTGAAGACTGGCAAATTAAATATCACGATGGAAACTTTTCATTTGTCCATGATTACTATTGCTGTTACGCTCCAGTTCCTGGTATATGGCATTTATCATCTACGATCGAAAGAGTTTCCAATGCGTTGAAAAAATTTTATAATACTTCAGAAATTAAACCGACAAGATACGTATTAGCCAATCGAAAGAAATATAGATACTTTACTAATTTTAACGCACTAACCAATGCCGTTAAAAAACAATTTCCTGAGCATAATTGGGAAATTATTGAAGACGGAATATCAGTAGAAGAGTCAGCAAAGCAGTACAGTACAATCCTCTTCATGTATACTATTACAGGATCTAATTTATGCCGCCTTTATTTCATGAATGCAGGCGGATTAGTTGTTGATGCACAAGGAGACTACAATGACTATGCGATGCAGTCAATTGCACTTGTTAACAGATTTAAGATAGTTGTTTATAGAATGAAAGGAGTTATTCATGATAAAACCAAAAAAGTTTATGTGAACATTACGGAAGCTATCCATTATATAGATTTTGGACTTCAAAAGCTGAAAGAATGATGTTTGTTTATATATGTGTTTGTATATTAATAAAAATTTCTATCATTGAAATCATATCGATATTTAAAAGATGTAATCTTAATGATAACTGTATAAATATGCAATGCAAGTGATTTATCAAATGATCCTCCTATCAAATGGTATTTTGAAATTTTGTCAATACTTTAATTGAGGAGTTATTGAATTTTACTATGAAGGATCAATAAGACATGCACTATACAGTTGTATTTTATTTTCCTTAGTCATAAAAGTAATAGATCTTTTTGAGTAGTATATAATGCGGGTTTTGTGACTTTTTTTGTAAACGTAAGAATTCATACAATATCGAGTGATTTTGTATCATTTTTTTTAACATATGAAGTAAAAAATGTATGATTCTTACGGTTTTTATTCTTACGTTTTTGAATAAATCAAGATTTAAAAAATTTTCAAAATTGTAAGACATTTACACTAAACCCATACATAATGAAATAAAAAAAAATAAAAAAAATAAAAAAATAAACTTTAAAAATTCATGTCTTACATTTTTGAATAATTTATTTTTTTTAATTTGTATGAAAATGAGTGTCAAAACTAACAACGTTAAAAAATTGGGATTCACAAATGAGGAAATAAAGGATATATTAGAGGAAGCGGGTTATGAGGTTAGTAAATATTATTTAAGAAATTGTCAAAAATTCGCGGAGTTTTTAAATGAGTTTGATTATGATAGAAAAATGAATAAAGATGATGTTATAAATTTCTTATATCCCACATCTGAAGAAGAAAAACCTAAAGAACCTGATGTTTTCCCTGAATATTATGAAGAACGGATTAAAGATGATGAATATGATGAAATTGAAAGACTGGAAAAAATAAGAGATGAAATAGATGAAAAAATTAAGGAATTAAGAGAAGTTGAAAAATATAATGAAAATGAAGTAGAGGGTTTAATGAATATCCCAGCTTCAGAATCAGCAGTTCAAAAATCTCATGAAGAAAGATATAAAAATTATGTCTCAGAATCAACACAAAATTTATTAGATGGTGAAATAGACGAAACACTTTCAGAAGAAGGTACTAAATTTATTCATAAACATAAGTTACAATTTATTGACGATGGAGATTATCCATGTATATTACTTTCACCTCCTCTTGATTCTGAAAAATTCAAAAAAGCACTGAAAAATGTAACATATGCAACAAATACGATTAAGAAAGAAGACCATGATATTTACACAAATTATTATTTAAATAAATGCACAGGTGTTGATAAAGTTTTTGATTTGTTAGATAAAATATCAAAAGAAACAATTGGTACATATAAAATTTTATGCGATTGTGGTTTCATTATTGAAGATACCAATAATGTTTCATATGAAAGAACAGCACCGAAGGAAGATGAAGTTGAAAGGTCTATACCATTCATTATTAAGAACATAAAAGATATGAAAACTATAAGCATTATATTTATTCATTTATTTCAGAAAAAATGGAAGCAACCCATAAAACATCATCTCATCATTTTATAGCTATTCATACATTCCTTTTCAAAGTTGTGAAATTAAATAAGACAGGAATTAGATTTAATGTATCAGGGTACGCATTCTTGAGTAAATTAAAATGTATTCGTCACGTCGCGATGATAAAAATTTATGTGTTCTTAATTCATTTTATGGACTTTAGCCCCGGACTTTAAAAAAATAAACTTTATTTTTATTTATTTTTTAATTTTTATTCTTACATAAATGAACAAAAACGGAACAGCTAAAATGAATGATAATCAAATTAGAGCAGAAGGTAGAAGGTTATTTAAACGCTTCTATAACATTCCTGATGGTGTTAATCCTAAAACTCGTAGAAGCTATTTAAATGAAGCAATAGATGCATATGAAGGGTTTGACATTTCATCAGAAAGTGAGAGGTTAGCAAGAATGTTAAACGTTAATATTGATTTTTATTATTGTGACCCTCAACCAGAAGACGTAGACATTAACAAGGTAGACTTTCCATTAGTGGAATCAATAATGATAGATCCAGAATTTGAAACAGTAAATATTTTATTAACACAGAGTCCATGTGGAAAACTTCACGCTGACAGAATAACAGACGTTGAAGCACTCACCGGCTATAAAGTTTGTCCATATTGCAAAGAAGAAGTTTATTCTATCCGTGATGATCCAGAAAGGAAAAACCAAAGAAGATTTTTAAAACATTGTGAGAAATGTAAAGAAAATAATGGAAGATTAATTCAAGACGTTCAATTGCAAAACACACAACAACCATATGCACCACATATCACGAAACAGAAGATATATCAATGGCTATTAGCACATAATTTGCAGGAATATTATAAACCAACAAGATATTATATTACTTTTGACTTCGAAACATTAGAGACTAAAGAAGAACTTCAACTTTCTGAATGTGCAACTTTGAACGCTTACTTAAAACCATTTATGGTATCATCAACTGTCAAAATAAAGCCGCAAAGCGGCGAGGTCGTAGACCGTGATAAAACATTTACGAGGAATTTTTGCTTAACTTCGAGTGATTCTTTTATTTCTGATTGGATTGAGTTTTTATTTTCAACCTGTTCATTAGTTGCTAAATCAAATATTGAACAATATGAAGAATTAATGAAGCCGCAAACGGACCAAACGGCGGGGACTTTGTCTCATACATTAAATGAGAAACAAAAGGAAGCATTTAAAGAACTTCTAGATGAAGAATTTAATAAAGTGAATATCATAGGTTTTAATTCGGGAAAGTTTGATTTAAATTTAATTCTTCGTGATTTAAACACTGCAAAATGGAAAATAAAATCAATGCTGGGTTCATCTCTCAATTTAAGCAAATCATTGTAAAGAAAACAAACTGTCCATATGAATTAAGATTTATTGACATCAGAAATTATATAGCGGGTGGGACATTAGACCAATTCACTCAAGATTTCGGAAACAATAAATCACGTGTTAAATCCTTTTTCCCTTATCAATTCATCACGTGGGAAAATTACGAAGATGAATTATATAAAAAGGAACCATTCACGAAAGATTCATTTTATTCAGCATTAACTCAAGAAACAATATCCGATTCAGATTATCAAATATATCTCAATGATGCTAAAAATTTTGAAGAATAGATTAGAATATTTTATTCATTATTGCAATAAAGACGTTGAAATTATGATTGACCCAATTGATAAAATTATTGAAGAAACATTTGTTTATAAAATTGACATGCTTCATAATCTTTCTTTATCATCGAATGCATCAATGATTCGTTACGCGTTAGCATATAAGAACTTCAATCCTAACGAAACATATCCAGAAGAAGAAAATGTGGAATCAAGTTTTGAATTAACGAAAAAGTATTGGAAATATAAAATTGAATCATATAAGAAACAAGATGAAAAAGCAGAAAGGGATACTAAAAAAATGTTTCAATGGATGACTATCAATACTATCACGATTTAATCCTTTCATCTAAATGCAAAATGTGTGGTAAAGCGTTTACATATGCTAATAAACCAACATTGGATAGAATCGATAATGAAAAACCACATACCAAAGAAAATTGTCAGTTAATGTGTTGTTATTGCAATGTCGTAAAATCAAATAAAGATGAAGATGTTCAACGTTTAAGAATCAATTTAAGAAATTATGCATTAAAAAATAATTTACCAATGACTTTAGATTCAGTTGAAGCTTATCACATTCTCCGTAATGGAATTACTGGTGGTCTATCAAATGTTCAACATCGTGTTAATCTTAAAGGAATCACGCACATTAATAAACTTTCATATAATCCAGAAACTAAAACTGTATCAAATGAGGACACCACCAACATTATGACTCATTTCGTTGGAGTTGACTTTAATTCATTATATCCTTCATCATTTTCATCTAATCCTCATGATTTCATTCAATATACTGACCATAAAATGTATATGCCGGGAAGATTGAATGGTGTTATCATTTGTGATACAGCAACAAAGAAAGCAAAAGCACTGGGAATTATTAGAAAGAAAAATACTTTATTCGTGGCTGAAGTAAAGGGTCACATTGATGAAAAATACATTAATGATTACATAAACTTTTTACCAATAATAAGAAACTTAGATATTATCACAGATGAAAAAACAATTGGCAGTTTTATGTATAATTACATGAAATCAAACAATCTACCAGTTGACCAGAAACAGAGAAAATTAACTCAGTTAGCATCAACACACAACCAATATCAACCATTTTCTTCTTATTATCTTTGGTATCTAATAGACAGATTTCATTTTATCATTGATGATATTCAATCAATTTTAACATTTACGAAAAACACTTGCTTTAATGAATTTGCGAACGAATTTATGAACGAAAGACAAAAGGCTGAATTAGAAGGAAATAAAGGAAAAAGTTTATTTTGCAAGATTTCACTTAATGGATCATATGGTTACGATGCAATGAATACACAAAATTACGCAAAGACTAAAATAATGAATGCACAGAAGGCACGCGTTGCATGTATGTCAAATAAGTTTAAAAACATAAGAGAAATAGGTGAAGATACGTATCAAGTGATGCTTAAAGATAGATTTTATAGATGTGATACATGTTTACAAGAGGCATTCTTCACTTTAGATAACGCAAAATACTGGTATTTGGTTTTCATTTATGATTTTATGTATAAATGCATGAATGTTAATCGTTTTCATTTCATTGAAGGTGATACTGATTCATCTTATTGGGCAATCGCTGGCGACCCAAATCTTCCTAACACTCAAGCATTTCAAGCAATTGTTACTGATAAACAATTTTATGATAAAAACATTTACAAATTCGCACCTTTTGATTTCTTTTGTTTTAATGAGAAATTTAAACCTAAATTAAAGAATAAAGCTGAAGAAAAAGCACATGAGAAGAAGTTATTGGGTTTAGCAATTGAGAAACAAGGTGATAACATGGTTGCTTTATGCCCAAGTGTTATACATCATTCAACGGTTCAATTGATGGAAGTGATTTTAAAAAGATTGCACAAAAAATGAAAGGAGTTAGTTTACGACAAAATAAACAATTAACACCTAAAAATTATTTGGATATAATAAATGATAAAGTGATATTTGATGGTCAGAATATTAATTTACAACTTAAAAATGGGTCAATGACTCGCTTAACAATTGGTAAGACTGCATTAACAGGAGCACACACTAAGGCTGTGTGTTGTGAAAATGGATGTTGTATGCCATTTATTTAATAAAATGCCACAGAAGAGACAAAAGGAACCGTTAATGATGTTTTTGATACTATGATTCAAAGAGGTGGGCACCCTTAAAACATTTATTTTATTTTTATATAAATGGATAACTCAGATTTAGAAAATTTAATTGATGATTTAGTACTTAATCAAAAATTTCTTAGTTATTATGAATTAAAATCATATCTCCAAAAATATAATAATAATATAACGGGTGATGATATGGAATATTATTATCCATATTATAAAAATGAAATTTTGAAATATCATATAAAATTTTCTAAATTAAAGACAAAATTAAAAATAATGAATATTCAAAGGGAAAAACTAAATCACAACTTAAACAATTGAAAGATTTCAAAAATAAAGTATTAACAGAAGAAGATATTGATGAATTATATAAATTATATAATCCTGAGCCGCAAAAGCAAAAGGAGCAAAAACAAAAGGTGCAAAACGCCCAGGTCCTTCAGACCATAAATGAAGCACAAGCTTTAATTTATGATTCATTAGTTAAACCATATTCAGCCCGACTTTTAAATGAAGATCAACTTTTGGAATTCATCCTTCAACATAAACTCGAAGCGGGAAAGTATATTAAACCTTTATATACAGCATATTTAAAACAAATGAATAGAATACATCCAGAATTAATGAAGGAAGGAATGAATTCCAAAACTTCATCATCCAAAATCAAAGCAGATAAAATTAAACCACTTGCAACACCAAAACCTCTAACGACAGTACCTGCAACACCAAAACCGCCTCCTCCTTCAGTTAATCCTTCATCATTCACTTTATTATATCCATTTCAAACATTAAAGAAACAAAAAGATTTTAAAAAGGATTTCAAGATATTAAATAAACCAATTGACCCAAAAATTCAACCGTTAAAGGAAAAATTTAGTCGCCCTTCATTTGCACCATATCCATATTCATATGAAATCGATCATTTAGAATATTCAAAAGGAAACGTTACTTATTTATTTGCCATTAACATTAACACCAGATATTTATATTGCATTCCGGTGAAAGGGAAAACAGAACAGGAAACAAGAAGAGCTATTCAATACTTACTAGATCATGAAAGAGTAGATAATAGGGGTGATGGTGATAAAGGATTTCAGGCAGCTATGACTCATTATTTCCCACAAATTAATTTTTACTTTTCATCCTCTCCATATACGTTTCATAATAAAATAGTTGATGCGGTAATGAGAACTCTTAGAGATGCGTTAGGGGTTAACGGTCAGATATACTGGGATGGAAATCATGACTCCATCATACAGCAGTTAGTATATTATTACAATAATACATGGCATAGAACAATAAACATGAAACCGTGGAAATGAAAAATGATATTTCAAAAGAATGGGAATATATTAGAAAGCAAATGGAAAGGTTGAATGATGTTAAACGTGAACAAATTAATTCGGGGCTCATGAATTTTAAACAAGGGGATAAAGTTTTGATTCATCTCGATTATGGAAAAACTGATAAATCAATGACAAAAAGAAGACGAAGATTTGACACAATAGCTGAATTTGTTAGATATATTAACGGCAATGCATTAGTTGAGTTAACAATAAATTAATAGAAATTCCGATTTATTTTATTACTCCATTATATTTAAATAATATTTAATTTTTTTATTTCGTAAGAAATGAGTGACAACGAAGCAGTCAAGAGTCCAGACAATGAATATAAAAAGAAACTAAACAGAATTAAATCAAAAATATGCTATTACAAAAAGAAGCCACAATGCGGTGGGGTTGAAAACGATAAAGAAATAATCGAAAAATTAGAAACTTACCGTTCAATCCTTAAACTGAGTGAAGCAAAAATAAAAGAATTTAATAGAATAAATAAATTGATTGGAAGAGATGAATTTAATAAAGATGAATTTTTAAACTCAATCCAAATTTAATTTTTATTCCTCTTCGACAACATCTCTCTTTCCATCATTACTGCATAACCACATTTTCTCAGTTTTAGTGGTTTGTTATTTTTAACATGTTCTTGCATCATTTTTATCATTTCCTCCCTTGTTATGATTCGTGGTAAATTTTGAGCTTGTGGGGTATTCATTTATGATAAAAATAAAATTTAAATTATGCCGTTTGCTCTTTTGGAGCTCAGGACTTTCAGTCCGTTCTAAAGTTTGAGACAACATGACATTTTGACAACAACACAGGAAATAAATGTTATCGTTTATGTTTTCATTAATGATTTAGGTTATTCAATAATTAATTATTTTTGAATAACTGGGAAATAAATTTACGTCAAATATGCAATTTATAAAATCTTATGTCGACAGGCTACGTAGCACAGTGGTCTAAGGTAGTGTTATGGAGGGGTCAGGGGTCTGGTTAACCGCGACGGCGCCTATTTTCTTATTTTTTTTTGTCTTGTTTGTCGTGAATAAAAAGTATCATAAAAGTGCTCTATCTTCCACGGGAATAAATAAAAAATTTACTTTATTTCTTCTTATTTCTTTATTCCGTGGAAGAAGGGTTTTCTATTTTTTCTTTTCAGCCGAAATCAATGATTTTTTCATTTTTGGAATCCTTATGAATCTTTTCTCTCGTGGAAGCTTTAACCTAAATATATTTTAGGTGAAGAGGTGAATCTCACCTGTTTTTTCACCTGTTTTTATGGTAGCAGTGAAATAAATTTTGTTATCAGTTATTTTATCATCATTTTATTAAGTTCATCTTTAGTTAATAATTTGAATGGATTCGCTAATGTTCCACCTTGAGTCACAACACTTGCCCGGCTAATTGTGAAGAACCTGGATTAAGTACTCCATGAAATGATTTCATATTAGTATCATTAATTTAGAAATAGTTGGCTTAATTAATTTGGTCATTTATGATAAAAATAAAATTGCATAATTTAAATTTTTTTCTTCTCATTTTCTCATTTTTCTCATTTTCTCATTTTTCATTCTTTTGGTTTCAGCAACTTTTCAAGTTTTTCTTGTCAGTAACTTTAATTTTAACTTTGGATCAAATATTGGGTTTCCATCTTTATCTCTTCCAATAACACCATATGGTAGAATCTTCATTTATACTAAAATAAAAATTTAAATTATGCCGTTTGCTCTTTTGGAGCTCCTAAAGTTTGTTTCACAAACATTGAGCGTTCATTGAACTCTATACCATGCGTAAACTGTCATGTAAGGTGGCATGTAGTCTTTACTTTGTCCCGTTGTTTGCGTATATCCTGAAACGCGATGTGTATGGTTTCCTTCTCCCTGAGTGTCACTCCAGTAACAATTTATGGCAAACTTAACGTCGTCTTTAACATCATATCCTTTACCTTTTGTCATTCCTGACCAATCCCAATATCTATGCTTATGCCAACCCGCTTGAGATGTACTTAAATCTATGTAGTGACTGTGTGCAGGTAAATTTTCACCTGTAATCGTTTTACTTCCCCCTGTTTCCTTTGAAGAGTTTGCACAATACAAAAACCTGTCGACTATTTGAGTCCAAGTTCCAAAACCAAGTACTACTTCTGGATTTGTTGAGTTCATTGACGTATAAATAGAGCCTATAGGATATAATGTTTGAAGCATTTCTGTCTTTAATGTTTGAAGCTCTGTTTTATCTGCTTTCTTGTCATATAAATCTTGAGCAGTGAATTTAATATTATGTTCATCCTTCATGACATAAACATCTTTACATCTAATGTTTCTCATCGTCGTTATGTCGTCATCCGATGTTAAACCTTGTGGAAAGTTAGGAGGTTTACAATATAATACATCCCCACCAGTTTCTTCAACCGTTCCTTCAATACTTTCTATAGCAACAGTTGTAAAACTTGTATGTGTATGAGTCTTATTTGCTTTCTTCTCTAACTCATCGTTAACATAAGTTTTATCCGCTTTAAGGTCTAAACATCCTGAAACCCATCCTGTATCAGCTTTAGTTTTTAAAATCTTCAATGTCCGTTCATGGTACCATTCAACCCTTTCTATAATTTCATTATCTTTTTCATTAACATATTCCTTATCTGCTTTCTTCATTAATGCACTAGCCACAAGTCCCTTATCTGCCTTCTTCTCTAACTCACTAACCACATATTCCTTATCTGCCTTCTTCATTATGTCATTTAGGAAACCTTCTATGAATTCCTCATTTAAATTAAATCTTCCAATCTTCAAAACTTTAGGAAATGCATTTAATGCGTAATATCTTTGTTCTTCTGGTGGAATTGATGTTATATCATCCGTTATTCCTTTAATTTTTGAATTCATAAATAAAATTTCTTTTATATTTGATATCACTGCACCACCCTTGCAAACGAATTCAAAATGGTCATTTTTCAATACTATCTCCAAATCTCCATATTTCAACCTTTGTGTTTGTTCTGCCGTCTTTGAATTATATGCATATGTGGCGTAAGTAATGGTCTGTGCCTTAAGTTGCTGTGGTTGCTGTTGTTTAATCATTTATTATGATTTAAAAATAAATATTTAATCTGTTATCTCATCAGCTATTTTTTCTATTTGAAATTGCCATAATATTTCATTCATAAATTCTAAATCACAATCAAATAGGTCAGTTATTCTAAATTTAATATTTGATAAATCTTTTGAATGAAGAATAAATGAATTCCCGGATAATTGAAACGGATATGATAAAGAAAATATGTTTAAGTTGATGGATAAAATGTTTTGTATTGATGGGTAAGAGTTAGGGTCTAATGTTTGATGTGAAAATCTCATTGGGGTATTAACTTTATCACATTTGATTAAAATGAAATTGGAACCAGTGTCAGAATACAAAACATCCCCAACATCTTTTTCAAAATTTAATATCCCCAACAATGAACGAAGATGAGGAGTACAAAATTTAATTTTCAGCGGGAATTTAATAAGGTTATTTATTTCATCAAGTTCAAAAAGTTTATCAGGTTTTGATTTAAAATTTTCTTCATACCAAACGATAAATGATTCATTTAAATAACTTAAAATTGTGTTAATATCCCATTTCGTTATCACATTATTTATATACATATCATACGTTTTTTCAAGGTCATCTTTAATAAATGATATATAATCTGAAGGGTCTAAAAGAATGGGATTAAATTTACCACTCACAGAAACGAGAGTAACATTATAAATTCCACTAACTGTTAAATTTAATTCACAACTATTATTCGAAATAATATTGATAATTGACATTTTTATTACGATTAAAAATATGGTAAAGCGTTATTTTCCAGTGATAAATAAAACTAGAATAAGATTACCTCAAGAATTCATAAATTCAACGAATAAGAAATTCATTCATGTTATAAATTTCAGTGTTTTCAGAAAATATGAGTCAATGTCATATTCATCATCGGGTTATATTTCACTTCATTCAAATTTAGTTCAATCAAACCCATATAATGACCATTTCATAAGATTTTCAGATGGTATTAAAAATGTAATTGATAGATTAAAATATGAACAGATTGACAATATCGAATTTTTGGAATTTTGGTTTAAATATCCTGATGGAAAAAAGATTGAAGTTAAAGATAAAGCTGATACTATAACAAAAACAATTACAATGACCGATCCAGATAGTGGGGAACAAAAAGAAATAAAACAAACGATAGAAACTGGTGAAAGGTCAATTATTATTGATTATGATTCAAAGGATTATTATTCAATAATGTTAATGCTTGAATATTAAATAGCCTTAACAAAGAATTTTTCAAGTGATATTTTATATTCATCAACTATTTTATTATAAATATCATTATATGTTAAATGAAGTTCAGTTGTTGTTCCGTTCTTTGATATCTTAATTGTGCTAATATCCTTTATAGGATTTATTTTTGCAACTGTTCCGCAGCATGAAACCTCATCATCTATGAAAAATTGAATCTTAACGTCTGAATCTTGAACATCACAAAGAATGGCGATAATGTGAATTAATGATTCATAAGGTAAAATAATTAAACCGGATTGATCAATTAAATTTATTATTGAATCATAATTATCAGTTATTATATCACGGTAAATTTTCATTAATTCAGAATTAATGTCTATTTTATATGGCGCATTGCGACTGGAATCGTATATTCCTGGGTTCTCGATGTTTGATGAAAGAGGTGGGGGGTATGTTGGATATGTGGGGATTTCAACAGGTTCTTTACCGGGTTCAGATAAAATGATTGGGTCTCCATTCTCATGGTTTTCTTCATTCTCCTCATTCTTCGGTAAGTCACGAGTTAATAAATTTGGTTGAGTTGCTGACCTTGTTAATTCAGGGCTAACATTAACTTTAACATTTTGAATAATTCGTGATTTATCATCATTTACGTTATAACCAACCGTAATCTCTGCTTTTGCGTTAGTGTTCTTTTGACTTGTGAAACGTCTTCTCATTTATAATTGAATAAAAAAAGAAAAATATATTTTAAAGTTTTATTTAGTTGTTACGGTAATATCCCAAGGTTCATCATTGTTTGCTTATACTTTCTTTGTAACTGCACCAATAATGTTATTGATATTGCTTTGAGTTTCTTCCAGTCTTATTTCATCATTTACAATATCTTTAATCATTTCATTACATGCATTCTTAAAACCATCTGATTTTTCTAATTTACGTCTATCACTTTCTTTAATTAAATCAAAGTTATAACCTTGTTGAGAATAAAGTGGTTTCTTTATCAATTCCTTGAACGCTTCTGCAAGTGAAGATGAAGAAATTCTTGCCACTTGAATTGGTTTAAATTCTGCTTTCATTGCTTCTTTCTGTTCATTGAACACTGGATCGAATAAAGCAACTTTAAAGAATTTCTTAGCTGGAATTTCAGGTCTCAAATTTGCATATTGACCATCAAACTGATTAACATATTGTGGTAATCCATCCGGTCCTTCTTCAATAGCGTTTAATTCTTCATTGAAATATGAATATGGATTATGACGGTATGAATTAATTGGCCATGTTCACCTTCTCCAATGTATTGTTTAACAGCTTTTCCATTTTCATCAAATTGCATAGGATAACATTCATTATATGCTTTACGTTTAGGATAATCAGATACAGTTAATTTGTAACCATTTATGACTTTAATATTACCTCGACCATCAGTAACGAAAACTTCATTTATACCATCAGGTTTTCCATTTGGACCTGTAATGTCTGCTTCATGTGCTTCCCAATTTGGACCTTGACGTTTGGCATATGCTTGAGCTTCTGGTAATGTTAAAACGTTTCTCATTTGTTTTACATCTTTTTGAAGACCAGCAACAATATGAACTAATTCTTTCATTCCGTCTGGAACTTTCATAGTTCTATTATACACACCCCCCTTTTTGTTTGTCCCTTGTTTTAATGGAACTTGTAAAAGATTTGCTATTTCTGTCATGTTTAATTATAAATAAAAAATAAAAATTAATTATAAAAAGTTAATCAAATTTAACACATCCTTTATTTAAATCAACTATTATTTTTCCATGTTCACCTAATTGTTGATATTGTGTGTAAAGTTCATTAATGCTCATTGGTAAATTCACTTGATAAAGCATAACGTTCAACTGTTGACGACTAAAACCACTGAAAATGAAAAGTGTTGATAGATTTGATTTAATGTTTGTGCTTAATGCTTTGAAGTATTGAACAGCCATGAAGAATGAACACTGAATGTGTCGACATTGAGTTAATAACTGATTAAAATATGATTTCTCATTTGTTATTAGTTTTGATTTCACCGCATCATCTAGAAAAATGAGTGAATGCAAAAATTCTCTATCAAAATTTGAAATAGAAAGTGTTTCAAATAATTCATCCCGTTGTTTATCAATAATTTTATCCTCTAATCCTTGCTTCTTGATTGTATTATATAATTCTTTATACATTAAAAAGTTTTTTAAATAATCTTCTGCTTCTTCTTGTGATAAATAAATAATTGGAATTTTGATTAAATGCTTTAAAGATTCAAATGTATCATCTGAAGGTGAACCTGAACGGTTGATATAAATTAACACATGTGAATGGGGGGAAGTGTTAGCAATAATGATAATTTGTTTTAATATCGTTAATGTTTTACCTTTATTTTGTTTACCAATTGCTGCAGTGATTGAATTTAAGTAACATTCAGAATATGGAATTTTCATTAATTTTTCCTTAGATAGAGCATTTCTATTATCACTCAATGCTTCATTAATCATATCATCTACGTATGTATTATATACTCCCGCTAATTCTTCAGAATTTAAATCCATTTAATCAAAAATAAATTTATAATTTTATACATTTCTATTCATCAATATTTCATCATATGAACTTCTATACTGTGGTGGTGTACCTGTTGGATGATATTTCAAACCTTCATCCGGTGTCCATGTCCAATACGTAGTCCTAGTAAACCAAACCTGAGGAGGATTTGTCACCTTTGAACAGTAAGTGTCATTTACACCCTGAATGATTGGATAAGCTTTCACTTGTACTGTAACTTGTGAGTTGAAAGTTTCTAATCCATCAAAGAATATACCCGCTCCATCACGTTGAACTGGAATAGTGCATAAGAATGAAGTTTGGTCTTTCCATGTTCTAGCTAATGGCGTGCCATTATCATCATTCAGTGGTCTAGTTAATGAGTCCTCGTATTCTTCCGTGCATTCATTCACTCCATCTAAATCAGAAGCTTGAAGCATACGTGTAAAGAATATGTCACCCACTGTGGTCATCGCTTGATCGGGGAAGTTTCTGGAATCTATAGTGACCTGAAGACCTCGAAGCATTGGATTTTCTAAAACGTTCTTTGCATTGCATTCTTCGGAAATGCTAACACAACATCTGTAACATTATGAAGAGCGTATGAGAAATCTGAACTGATACCTTCAGGAGTGATGCAACCTCCATTTAGTGAACGAACGTCAATATGTTGAGCTGGAATCATGAATGGATCTTCCTTACTGAATAAACGTGGTATTGCTTTAACTGATTCTTCAATTAAACCGTATCCTGGTGTAATACATTTATCCTCTAAAACTTCCATCTTTGTGCATGAAATAATAACATCATCAACTGTTGCGTCAGCAGATGTAGCGGCTAAGCTTGTAATTAATTTGGCAGGAAGTCCGATTTGTTGGAATTTGCGATCATATTTATAAACATGATTCATAATCTTTTCATAATTTTCATCAGTTATCTTTTCATAAACGTAATTTTGTAAATCAGCAACTCTTAACGGGTCAACCTGACAAAATACTAAAGTATCCCTGAAAACATAATATTTAAGAATGATTTCACCAAATGATTTAGGATAATCATCGAACGCCTGAAATGCTAACAAATCATTTACCGGAATAATCATATCAAAAGTGATATCAACTTCTTCATTTGCTTTCTTGAAAACTTCTGAAGGGTCAATATATTTACCACATACTGAGTTATCATATTTTTGAACATTATTATATAACGAATGAACAAACTTTTTAACTTTCCTTTCTGATTTTGGTTTATATGTTGCAAATGCGAAAGATTCACGGGCGCAATCCATCTGAAGATAACCGGCATCACCTCTTTCGGTTTCTACTTCTAATTGTTTAAAGCTTTGATTTGATGATTTGTAACCAACGAATAAACGCATACATTTAAAAGCGGCATCACATGTGAAAGCTTTATTTGAAACTAGAGTTGCTTTAACTTTGCGTTTAATATATGTGTCACCTAATTGGTTCACATCATGAGCCGGATTTGTAATTCTTAAATGAGTTTGTTTATCATCAAAATATGGAGCATCAGAGTCATAGCATGAACTTTCAAGTTCTCTATAATATCTTCTTCCGTCATTCTTTGCAATATTTCATTTATCTTTTCGAATGAATGAAACACATTTCCATTAATTGGTTTAGTGTTTGGCACCAAATAGTTAGTCGTCATTTATTATTAAATAAAAAAATCAAAATTAAAATATGAAAATGAATTTTTAATTTTAATGAAATAATCAACTATGGCTGCAGGATTCTTTAAGAAACTGTGGGATAAAGTAAAAAGAGGAGCGCATAAAGTTTGGGAAACAATGAAGAAAGGAGCAAATTGGATATTTAAGAATAAAGAAGCAATTAGTGACGTTGCTGAATCAATAACACCAAAAGCTGCCCCAATAAGAGAAATTTTAAATAAAGGAGAAAAAGTTTATCAAAGACTACAACCAATACTAAGATAAAAATAATATTTATTTATTTTTCCACTATTTACCCCCTATTTTATTAAGTATTCCTTCAGCAATTCCACCAATTGCGTTACCTGCTTGTGCTCCCATCGCCGGATTACCTGCTTTAGTACCTAATACTCCACCTATGATAGTTCCTGCCGTTTTCGCTACTGGTGCCAAAAAGTTTGCAACAGGTTTAATAACCTTTTTATAAACCCAACCTGCAGCTTTCTTAATTCCATCCCATAATTTTTTAAAGAATCCTGCCGCCATTTCTGATTTAATATTAATTAAAAAATATATTTCATCACTTATATTCTAATTTTTATTTAATGATAAATGAAACCAATTTTAAAAATAAATGAAACAGAGGAGGAAGAAATAAATGAAAGTGAAAATGTTCAACAAAAAATAAACGTTGTTAAACCAATTACTGAAATAAAAATTTTTTCATCTGTTGATGAATTTAATGACTATTATGCTAATAATAAAAAATTATTTGAAGAATTGACAACATGTAAATTGAATAAAATGTTTAAAGTTGATGGATTCAAAATTTCAAAAATAAAAGGAGTGGTTAGTTTGAAATCTATTCCTCAATCAAGAATCACCTCATTAATGAAAATTGATGATTTAACAAAAAGAATAGAAATTATTGAAGAGCGAATAAATCAAATTATTGATTTCATAAATCATGACTCGTTGAGCCCGGGTCCTTAAAGCCATCACTGAGTTCAAGGTTATATTCATCAAATATTTCATTATTAAATGCAACTTCTGCTAGTTTATTTATTTTTTCAATACGATCATTTGAAAGTCTATCGTTTAATTTTTTCTGAAGTTTTTCATTTTCTAGTTCTGAAACTTTATTTGGATGATATTTAAACCCGTTAAATTCTTTTTCCTCAGTTTTGATCATTAATTTACAAAGAACTTTTGTGGTTGAAATTCGTTTAAACCATTTATCATTAATATTTGTTATATATTCAATATCTGGAATTAATTCCCAAATTTTTGCATTTTCAATTAATTTATTATCAAATGCAAAAGCAATAGGTTTAATATTAAACTTACCTTTATAATATAAACTTTCTACATAATCATCGAAATAAACATCTACTTGTTTAACATTTTCAAGAATTGGTGAAAGAGCATCCATTAATTGATTGACGGTTACGAATCTTGATCCACTCATTTTCATACAAATTAAAAAAAATAAATTATTCAAAAATGTAAGACATGAATTTTTAAAGTTTATTTTTTTATTTTTTTTATTTTTTTTATTTCATTATGTATGGGTTTAGTGTAAATGTCTTACAATTTTGAAAATTTTTTAAATCTTGATTTATTCAAAAACGTAAGAATAAAAACCGTAAGAATCATACATTTTTTACTTCATATGTTAAAAAAAATGATACAAAATCACTCGATATTGTATGAATTCTTACGTTTACAAAAAAAGTCACAAAACCCGCATTATATACTACTTTTTTGACAAATGAAATTTCTGGTGTTCATTTTGACTCTAATTTAAAATTTTCAATCTTCTGTTGCATTGATAATAAGAATATGAGAAATGAAATCCACAATAAACATTTCAATGTGTCACTTTTTAAATTACAGTTTCGTAATGTTGATAATAATTCATTATAGCATATTTTGAATTCATAAGGTGTAACTTTCACTTTTTTGCTGATTTAAAATTTTGGTATGAATGTTAATTCGGAATTACAGGAGGAAATAGAAGTTTATGAGCGCTATTATAAATCTAGACTTATAAACAAGAAAAGCAAAACAAAAGGTGTCTACGATCCTGTTATCACGTTTTACAAAATGATATCGGATGAAAATTACCGCGTTGACTCATTATCATCATTTATCCAGAAAGAAGTTGAACCAGAATATGCACGAGAGTCTATTGCGTTGTATTTACATCTCACAGACAAAATTTCTGTTGAATCATTAGAATTCGTAAGAGTTTTTGTTACAACAAGATCGAAAAACATTACAAAAGAAACATACAAGAATATTCGTACCAAAATTTTCCGAATTTATGCAAAAGTTGCCTATCAATTCCCTAACGAACTAAAACTTTTTATTAGAAACCAGAAAAGTAAAAATTTTCCGGAGATAATATGGCAATATTTCAATTTTTTCTTCATGTATTTCTCATCATTAAAGCCAGGAGGTTTTAATCGCTTTGAAATCCTTTCTAAGCCTGTATTTCGCATTCTTGCGCAAGAATTCAGAACAATACTACAGACAGGAAAGAATCCCGCTCCAATTTCGTTCCTTTGGGATATATTTCCGACATTATTTAACTTAATCATCAAAGAAGCTGGAACGCAGCACACAACTATCTTCGAGTTTCTCAAGTTCTGCGTCAATACTTTCATCGCAGAATTCTATCAAGATTTTTACGAAAGATTTGACATAATTTCTAGTACTTTTTACACATTTACAGCCATTTACTCGAACTGTACGCCAGCGCAGAAGGAAATAATCTCAAATTGCGTTGCTTCTACCTGCTTTTTGTTCACAAAAGCTGATCTTCCAAACGAATCTTCGATTATCAATATGGGATACACATGTTTCGAGTTCAATATCAAGAACCACGATGTCAATTTCAATAAAATAGTTACTTCATGCGTCTCTTTTTTGAGATGGGCTTGCGATAAATGCATAATCAAAAATATTGTGATTCCAAAGATAGATCCGAACGCAAGTATCGTTTCTGAGATACAATCTAAGCCTTGCAAGTTCCTTTCTCTATCAGAATTCAAAGAACATATGAACCTTTCGAGAAGATTTTCTGAACCGACGTCAATTTCAGTTATTCGCGAGTTTTCGGAGCAAAATCCTGGACTTTACTCAGCAATATTGCTTTTGCGTGAAAGAGTAATCGGTTCTCCTGAATTATCTCAAATTTTATGTAATGATATCATGAATCAACTAAGGGAGATCAAAAATACCGACATTTACCATTCATTCTTGTGCATTTCGTTGGTTTTGATCCATCCAATCAACGAGTTTTGCCTTAAAGAAGCAATTAAGAACGATTGGTCCATAATTGTCGACCGCCAGCTCTTCTGTACGCAAGTTGACCCTAATAATAAGGACAGAATTGCTGTTTTCATTAAGCAAATGCAAGATTACATAATTTATTTCTTATCTGAACGTTGCAAGAAGGGCCATAACATCTTCAACCTTGTTTTCCAGTCATTAAGCTCCAAATTAACAGAATACGGAGACTTTTTTGTGATGAATATCTTTCCTGTTTTTGAATATCTACTTAATGACATTCCAGACATATTCATTCCAGCATATTTGAACTCCTTTGCATTCCAATATGCAACAACATATATCTCAAAGTCCCCACAAACGCTTTTGAGCTACAAATTGTTCTCATTTTTGCAAGCACTCACAATTACATCACCGGAATCAATCCTAGACATGCAAGTTTATACAGATTTGTGTCTCCGACTCGTAATTCTTGCAAATTACCAAGATGTAGTAAAATCAATGTTTTTCTCATTGATAAGAGACAATAATACAATCGGAATGGTCAGATTCACCTCATTTGTGGCACTTTTACTCGAACAAGCCATGAAAAATGTAGAAAGTTATGGACAAATCGCGATTACATTTGTTCATGCAATGAATAACAACATGGCAGCGCTCAATCACCCAGATATCGGCAATGTAATCAAAACATCTATAATTTATAATGCTGCGCAGCTTCCACAAGTCACAGGAAATCCAAATGACGTAAAATTAGTTCTCAGTTTGATCAAAAACATATTCTACACGTATCCTATGTTCACAGAATATTTGATTCCGAGGTCTGCCCGCTTGGCAACCACTCTTTCCCAGACAGTTTCTCAAGTAGATCTCGATTCTCAGATATTAGACGAACTGACGTCAATTTTGTTCGGCGTAAACTCGAAATTCAGGGAGATAAAGACGATCAGGATCTATGGAATCATGAGCGTCCTCATGAATTCGATAAAAGGAAAACCAGAAGAATTATCTGTGTTAGAATGGATATATGACTTAGAGAGAACGAGTCGTCTGAACGCGTTATTGTGTTGCGACGGTGGTTTGATGTCGATTTGCCTTGGAAGATTAAGTCATTTGCAACAAAATGAGAAAAACTTGACATCAATCATTCTTAACATTGTTACAAGTTTATTCGAGCAATTCCCATCCACATCATTCATGCTCCAATTGCTTCCTGCAATGAAAGCGTCCATTCAAAGCGAGGAAAAAGTCTGGCCACTTTACGTTCTATCGTTCTTAAAGAGATTATCTGCAGAGCAAGAAATATTATGTGAGCCAAGTTACGTTGCTTTATCATTCCCCGAAACATATATAAAGATTCCGGACTCTTCTTTACCGGATAATATCTTTAATATGGACTGGACGTTCGTAACAACGATCAGATTGAGTTCTAACAGTGTTAAAGGAAGTGCGTTTCCACTTCTTTACATTGGAGATAACAATGAATCGTTTTTAGTCTTAATTAAAGACAATTTGTTGTCATTATCAATCAAATCGACCAAATCCCACAGTATGCAGATCTTCAACTTCAATTTCGAGAACGACTGCTGGTTCCATGTTGAGTTAGCTTTCGGAATGAACGAAATTTCTCTTTATGTCGACTTCCAAAAGATCGAAACCCAAAAGAGAACCTTGTCACAGCTTCCTAAACCTATGCATTTCCTCATTGGCTCGTACAACGACTCCAAAATCGTTAAAAAGAGTTATGCAGATATATCTAACACATATATCTTCTCGGGATTGACTGTTGCCAAGATCAATCCAAGGACAGAGTTCAATACTGTCGATTTCACCAATTCCATTGTCTGTTTCAACATTGCGAACACCACAAAACACTATGGAAATATCCCGGCGAATTCCCCTTACATCGACACTGCAAATTTGAGGGGATTCTTCGTGCCACCTCCTGTTTCATTTTCCACTTTGTTTACAAACGATATCGTTTGGAATTCCTTCATTGTTGTTTATTTCGGAGCGACAATGGCCATTGGTTCTGACTTTGGCGTTGAAGATCCATTAGTTCTTCTTCCAATCATCATGGAAAACATCATTTCCAGTTCTGTTGAATGTGAAAAATGTTTCGATGGAATGAACGGTTTCTCAGAAATTTCATCGAACTTCACAAAATTGAATAGACATTTGGATGAGTCAATTTTTGTGTCACTTTTCAAACTATTGAAGTGTCTTAAATTAGACAAATCCAAAATCAACTGCATCAAGTTTTTATGGATGAATCCTAAACTCCACAAAGTAATTACAAAAGAAGCTGTCACTTTTTGTATTAATGTATTAACAGAAGTCAGTGTCAATGAGCCACAAATCATCATGGAAGTATTAGGGCAACCATTTGTTGTTGAGTTTATCAACCAATTGATACCGAACAACAAAGTTATTGATAAAATCCCTGATTACGTGCAATCTTTGATCCATATTTTCTTCAAATTGATACAAGAAAAAGGTCAAGAGAACCACGTTTCTGTTTTAATGGATACTTTAATGTCTTCTGCACATAATGACATAAAAGCTGAAGCATTGAATGCATCATTAAAAATGATGATGCATAATTCAAAATCAATTGTTGTTGTTTTGAAGCAACTTGGTTTTGCAACACCATTTTTACAATTGATGCATAACAAAGATCCGAAGATCCATCTCAGTGCTTTGAAATGCTTCAAGAATGGTGCTGAAATAACTAATGTTTCCGATGAAGAAATCATGGTTTCAATCCTTAGATTGACTGAATCAATGGATGAACTTCAATTTGACGCGTCTGACATATTTTTAGACAGTTTCGAGTACATGTTTAAGAATAAAACAGACAACGTCGATGTTCCAAGAAGGAGATCAAGTGCAAATGATAAACCATTGCCCATGAAATCCCATTACTTCTTCCCTCTTTTCGCAGCTGCTTCAACAACAACTGAAAGAGATATCGTAAAACAATCGATTTCGGATCTCACGAAATCATTAATTACGTATCCTGATGCTTGTTCATGCATGACATCTATACCTTTCTGGCCATATTGGATTATTATCCTTTGCCAGAGTGGTTTGGATTCTTCGGAAGTATTAAAGAGCTTCAGAGAAATAGCAAATTGCATTTTGTTGAGCTCATTTAAATCGGGGAACTTCACGCCCGTAAAACAAGCACTTTCCATGTTAGATACAGTTTCTTTCTATTTGAAAGTTGACTTATTGGAATGCAAGTCTGCTATTCTTTATTCAGCTGCACAATCTTTCAAAGATGGTCGTGAATCATCTGAATCTTTCAAAGCTTTCGCAGCTTCAGTTTTTCAATTGATATTTGTCCGGCCAATTGTCAAATTTGACAGACGGATTGAACTCCGTTCAAATCCATTTAGGCTTGTTGCTCTTGAGAAAGAGAGATCCAACATCTCTAAGATCAAAGGAAGTGATTTAAGTTTCCACATGTTGATGGATGAAGAAAACAAACCAAAAGATTTAGAGTTGATGAAATCAGCATTAGACGCACTAGAAAAATGGATTCAAATATCACATAGAGAAGTAATTATTGATGATCTTTTGTATAATGTCAATATGTACAGTTACTTAGTTTGTATTTTGATGCAGCGGATGCCCGAAACAGCAGAAGAATTAGCTTTGAGATTCATTGCTTCATATGATTTCATTCCAAACACAGGAGATACAGAAGAGGAACATTCTGCACTAGGCATCTTCCTTTTTATTGCAAATAAAATGGGATTCAATTGGGATAAAGTAAAGACGTTGAATGAGAAATTCAACTTCTTCAATGATGATGAAGACTCCCCTGAACTACAAAAGTATTTATTCGAAGAACAGATCAACCAGAATTTATCAAAACTTTTCCTTGTTAATTTTGTTTAAAATAATTATTATTTAATTTTTTTAATCAGTACCTGTTATATATAATATGCAAATTCTAATTATATGCATCAATTATCAAAACATTGCCTGAGGCCCGAAACTCAAATTTTTGTTGGGGTTTCACACAATATAGCGGGAGAAAACAATAGGGATATTTTACGTAGGAAAATGAGTTGAATTTTATGAGTTTGAGCCAAATAAGCCTGAAGACGCTCGAAATTTAGAATAAATCAAAAAATGATGTGATAGAAGTTTTTTGACTTTGACTAGAATTTTATTTTTGACTATTTTCTAAAATTTCATTTTTTAATATGGATCTAAACTGGAAAGAACTTTTCGTTGGTGATCTCCCCGGCTATGTTGATGGGAATTTCATCAAAGAGCTTTTCAGGGAGTACGGAAACTTCCCATCAGGGACAATCACAGTCAAGAAGCATAAATCTCTTGACAAGTCCTTTGCTTTTGTCACATTCGAATCCCACGAATTAGCAAGACGTGCTCTTTTGGAAGTCAACTACACGAAACTCGATGGTGTTCCAATCCGTATTCTTTGGTCCGATCCAGCTACAAAGAGAGCCATCAAAAAAGACTTTTGTACTCTCATCATCTTCGACCTTGATGAATATATTGAAGCTGCACAGCTTCACGATATTTTCTCCAACTTCGGCGAAGTGGTTTCCTGCAAGATCCCGTTAACGAATGGCAAGCCTCGTGGCGACGGCTACGTCACATTCTACAAGGAAGAAGATGCCATGCGTGTTAAGAATGATCTTGCTCAAGCTTCTATCAACGGCAAACCAATTCAAATTGTGTTATACTGTAAGCCAACCAGGAAGAACTCAGAAGAAACGTTTACAAATGTATTTATCAAACCTTTACTAGTCAAATACTTCAAAACGAACGAAGACCTTGCTAAACTCATGAAAGATTTTGGTGAATTTGTTAATCCATCTATCAAGTTCAATGATGACGGAACAAGCAGCGAATTTGGTTTCTGCAATTTCATGTACCACCAAGATGCCGTTAAAGCAGTAGAATCACTCAATGGAAAGATGCACATTTCAGGAGAGTTCGAATTTGTCTGCTGCCGTGCCCAGACTAAAGCAGAGCGCCAAGCCTTCTTAGCGGAGCAGTCCGCCGAGTTCCGCCGCCGCCTTTACGAAGAGACACGTGGTCGTAACCTTTACATCAAGAACATCGACCGAAGTATCAATGATGAAGAATTCGAAGAATACTTCAAGCAATTCGGTGAAGTTGAGAAGTGCCTCATCAGTCGCGAAGCTCAGGAGCCACACGAATCTAAAGGTTTCGGCTTTGTTCTTTTCAAGACAAAGGAAGGAGCTCAGAACGCTTTGAAAAACACAATTATTACTCCACTCAAAGGCAAGATCCTATATGTCAATTACTTCATAATGAAAGAAGAGCGCGAGCATATTTTGCCGATGGACCAACCAAAGACATATCTTAACTTTATAAAGACTAAACTGTCAGAGAGAGGATTCCCCAACAAACAAAAGAAAAAAAATTCTCTATTCAATCTCAGAAGAACAAGCTCAAGAACTCTGCAGTGACCAAGAGAAGTTTGATCAATTGCTCAATGAATTCTTTGTTCAAGAACATCTCATATCAGAATACGAGGATAATCAGCTTACATTCACATGCTATAATCCAAACATAACAGAAGATGAATTCAAACAGTACTTCAATCAATTTGGTCAAGTTCTATATTTCTTTGCAGAGAAAGTAATTAAAAACGAAAAAGTCACAATTATTAACGGAAACGTAACCTACAATCGTAGAGAAGAAGCACAAAATGCCATTGAAAACTCTCTTTCCACAAAGCTTAATGGGAACCAATTATTAATCAATTTCATTAAGGATGAAAAGGAACAATTATATGAAGACGAACTTCCTTCAAAGAAGTATCTGGAAAAGATACTTGAACAAAATGAAATCACAGGCGATCAGATGAAAGCAGTCTTTTTAATAATCTCCAACAGTCAGGCATCGATTCTCCAAAGAAATGGTGACTTGTTGGATTCATGGCTTAATGATATCAAAGATCAGTGTTTGTTCAATGACTTCGATGATAACAATAATCAATCTCCATTTTATTATCTCCTTGATTATGTAGTTTATTGTGGCGACTGATAAATATTTCTCAAAGGACTCTCCTGGATTATGTAAGTATGTTCGAGATTATAGTACTGTATGAAATTGATGCTTTTCCCATATGTATCTTTTCTCATTTGGTCCATTCTTTCATTATCTTCTTTATATGCTCTGACTCCATCAAGGAAAGTAATACAATAGAAACATATGCTGCAAGATTCCAAGGCTATCTTTTTCTCCAGCATAACCTTGTGATTCGAATTTAAGACAAGTTCGATTGGTTTCATTAATTACTTGGAAGGATCTTTAGGATCATCAAGTTTTTTTCGTTATATATATATATATGTTTGCAGCATTATTGGGACCATTGTGATCATGTATCTGACACAAGAAAATCCTTAGAACATTGCAATTTGTTCTTTCACAATTGTAACTTAATAATTGAACAAAAGAATTAGAACTAACAAAGGAAGAGAATTCAAAATAAACCAAAATGCAAAATTACTGGAAATCTTATGCTTGTTTACAGATTTCAAGATCAATTCGTATTTGTCTAAATTGGTGTCATCTTCTGTAAATATCTTATTCATACTATCATTGAATTCATCATTCTGCAATCAAACTTTCACATTTGCATGAAACAAGGATATTTGGCATTGCTGCAATCAGCATCAATTCTGATCCATCTTTCCATCTTGTTAAGAATTCCTAGACAGTCATCATTGATATCTTGTCAAAATGTGTTAAATTGCCTGTAGACAAATTTGTTGTTTGGAAATTGCCTCATTAATTGGGATAATTCTTTGTCATATCATTCATTTAAATTACCTTGTAATATAGGGTGTCCAAAGGTGCGTTTAGCACAGCGCTCTATATGAGACTATTAAAGGAGATATATGCTGATTATAAATATATAATAAAAAATATGAATATATGTATATGATGAGTAAGTTGTATTTTGGCGCCATGCCGGGATATAAAATGAATTTTGAGACAAGAGGCGGTTTCGCAGGAAATTTTGGCGGGATTTTTTTCATTTTTTTAATGAATCATAAAGAAAACATCCTCGCTCTTGCAAAAAAATGCAAAGACTGTAAAAATCTACGAGACATTGGTAAAATGCTTCAGTATGGATGCTCCTAGCTATTCCACTGTAACGTATCATGTTAGGATGTATCACTTCATGAACAAAAAGGCGCCCATCATAAAAATTGACAAAAAATCGCCGGATCAAAGAAAAATCAAAGCAATTCTTCAAGCGCTAGATGAAGACCCAAGAGCATCACTCAGAAGGATAGAGGAGATGACAAAGATACCACGTACAACAGTCAGTTATTATCTGCACAATTATTTGAACTACAAACTAGCGTATACACGTTGGGTTCCGCACAACCTTAATTCAGTTCAAAAAAATCTAGAGTCCAATCTTCGAAAGAGCTCCTCTCTATATTGCGTGCGTATCAATCCAAGAAGTTTCGCTTTTTAGTAACAGGGGATGAGTCTTGGTTTCAATATGCAACAGAAGCCAAAATCATGTGGATCCCGAAGGATGAAGATCCGCAAACATTCCCGAAGAAAAAAATTGACACACCAATGATGATGTTGTCGGTTTTTTGGGGCGTGAATGGCATCATCGCAATTGATATTCTTCAAAAACCTAATACGATGAATGCTCAGTATCTAATTGACAATGTCTTACTCAAATTATCAATTCTGATGAGTTTGAGAAATCCAAACAACAAAAAACAAAAGTTTGCAATTCATTTGATAATTCAAGAGTTCACAAAAGTCATAAGGTAATGAATTACTTGGTGGAAAACAATGTCAAAGTTGTTCCAAACCCAATTTATTCACCTGATATTGTACCCTCTGACTTTTATTTATTCGGCACGCTAAAAAAGAGAGCTGAAGGACGCGAATTCGCGAGTCCAGATGATCTTGAAAATTTTGTAAGAGAGCAATTTGAGCAATTTTCTCATGATGATTTAAAGCGTGTCTTTGAAGCCTGGATCGATCGCTGCGAACGCGTGATTGAATCCAATGGTGATTATATTTAAATAAACTTTATATATATGTAACTTGTTTATTTCTATTCGCAGTATTCAGGTTTGTGCTAAACACACCTTTGGACACCCTATACTAAATCCCAAACAATTGCTGATGAGATGTATAGCCTAAGGTCTCAAATTATAAAATACTTAAATTCGATAATTATAAAATTTCATAGAGAATGGATACATGTGGTCAGTCCATTGACACGCTTCTATTTCTGAATTTATATTCGTTCTAATCATTTGTCAAATCATGTAGAACTTGTGTTTTAGCATGGTATTCGCTCATAGGATTGTTAATGAAATTCTGGGAAATCTCAAATATTAATAGGTTGCATTACTTTATCAGTGCTTTTTTCTGTATCAATATCTCCTTCTGCAGAAACTGACAAAATATTCATGATGAAAAGAGGTAAAAGATTCATGAAACATGTCCAGTTTGTTTCATAGAATAAATATAAGTATGTAAAATATTTTCATATTCTTTAGCTTCAGTATAATATGTGAATGTATAAAGTTTATAAAATACATTCGAAAACCAATAAGTTGAATTGTATACATAAAATTGAAGCACATCGAGAAAAATAAATAATGGCATTACAAATATTGCAACAGCAAATTTCTTTCTTTTTGATATATCGATATTTAGAGTTGCTAAAATCGGTATTGGGATAAAGTAAAGACGTTGAATGAGAAATTCAACTTCTTCAATGATGATGAAGACTCCCCTGAACTACAAAAGTATTTATTCGAAGAACAGATCAACCAGAATTTATCAAAACTTTTCCTTGTTAATTTTGTTTAAAATAATTATTATTTAATTTTTTTAATCAGTAAAAAAAAAAAAAAAAAAAAAGGTAGTGGGGCTTCCAGGCACTTCGTGCCTTCTAGCCCTGATGATGATTATTATAAATGAAGTTTTTATTCTGAGTCAAAGTTCGGGTCTTCTGCGTTATATGCAACGTAATTGAACCATATCTTGTATGAATGGTTCAAATCCGATGAAACAGAAATGGTTTCACCGGGGACTAATACCAAGTTTCCTTCCCAGTAGGCTTGACCATTGCTAAAGAATATGCAAACCAATTCTTCGAATACAATTTCTTGTCCACTTTTGCGTTGGAAAATGACTCTTACACGGTCACCTGGAATGACTCCATCTTTTTCGTTGTCTTCATTCTGTAACGAAATAGTACGAACGAGGAAATGGTTGACAATTTCAACTTGGAATTCGCAAGGAGTTGTGCGAAAAACCCAGCCAACATTTTCGGCTCCGTACTCGTCAGCTAGTTCATCTGGTCATAGCTGTACGAGTACGAGATGAAGTTTATGGCTGCACGGGCAAATTGAATTTGAATTGGGCTGCGTAAGGTAGGAAGCAACTGGTTGAAGAGTCGTTCTTGAAGTACCTTACAAGAGTGGACAATAGCGGACAAGTTCGTCTGCATATTGAATTGAATTCGAACAAATTTGTTCGAATTGGACCGTCGCCGAAACTAGTTGACCAAGAGCTGTAGAATACTCTGAGGTCTGTTCTATACTTTCTTCTAAGAAGAAGCCATGTATTCATCAGCTTTTGACTGCAATTGTTGGCGCAATTGGAAGTTAGATTGCTCGGGTCAAAGCGAGTCTTGGAGTGTCATCTGGGACTGGGAGTGACCGTGGAGGATGACAATCCTCTTCCTGGATAGTTGAATCGGAATCGCTACTGTCTTGGTATGACATTGAGCTAAAATGAAGTGAAAAAACCGACCACTTTATTTTTTCAAATAAGAGTTTAAAATAAACCGTTTTCGTCAACGGTAACCCCTTGTATAATTTTATTTTATTTAATAGTTACCGTTGGAAAACCGTTCCATCTCAAATATATTGAATGAACTATAAACGTTTTTTGTTTCTATATATACTTTTTTTGTCCAACGGTAAAACTTTTTACACAACGGTTTTTGAGAGTCGTCGCCGTTGAACTTTTTTGTAGAGCACTCAAAATAGTATAACTTTGTCCGGACAAGTAAGGTCTATCGTCGCTACAGGAAAAGTTACGGGCGTTCCAAGGAAGTATACTTTGAGAAGCCTTTTCCCCCTTATAGAATGAGATAAGACGGTTATTTTACAAAACTGACAACACTTTGACCGAGTAGTTTTTTGTGCTGAACAAAAAGTGTCATATAAACATCTGTCAAAAACCGTTTTTTACTTCACTTAAAATGCCACGTAAGCTACGTAAGAATATACGTAAGAGGAAGGGAGCATTGAAACATCCAATAGAAAAACTGACACCACAACAACAGTTGCAACAACAAATTATGAATGACCCCACTATGTTGCAACAAATGTCAAGCAACCCTATGCTTTTAAACCGAGTTATTGGTGCACAGAGTGGAGGTTTAAGAGCGGCACTCTTTAGCGAAAATGGCAGGCTATGGTGAGCTGCAGACGGAACAGCTTATAACCCTCAAAGTCAAATGAATTTGAGTTCACTCAAAAATCAATAACAGATGTCAAAAAGTCAAACATAGACATACAGAAACAAAATAAGTGAAAACGAAAAGAAACTAGAATATGACAGACACACAAAGAAACTAAATGAGTTAAACGTAGAGAAAAAAGAAGAAAGAGAAACAACTGAAAGAACTAAGTACAGAGGAATATGCGAAAAAAGTGTCAGAAAAAGCAGCAGAAGTAGCAAAAATGGAACAAGATGTATAAATTTGAAAAACCATACTACTCAATATAAAGTACTGAAAGATGAAGAGATAAAACAAAAAGCCCTGAAGACATATATGGATAGCGGATGAGTATAAAAAAGAAGTTGAAGCAAATGTAAAGGCAGAAAAACTTTTACAGTTGCAAAACCAAACCGTACAGTATGAAACTTAGCACAAGAAAGTAAAAATAACGACGCAGCCATGCAAAAGGCAATGAAAAGCGCAGAATATATAAAAGCTAATAATGACTGGTTAGATGCCCAAGCCAACGCCAAAGCAGCCCAACTTATAGGTCAATAAGGACAAAATACAAGCGGATGAAGACAGTTCAAATGAAGCTTTAATGAATGCTGACTTTAAGAACGCCTTCGAAGCTCTTCATAGTAAGGTGAAACAGTGAACGACTTCTCATCTGGAAAGAAACTGAAGTCTGAAGGTTTCGACAACGAGTTAAGAGAAGTAGCACAAAATATGACGAAAATAACAGATGCAGCAACGAGACAGGCAGTTCAAAGTGCCTATGACGCC